TTATATCTATCAGAGGAATCTTAGATTCACTTGAACACTGAAACTAATCAGTATCTAATCAACTCGCAAACTATTACACAACATCCAGACAAAAGAAATAAATCAATTCACACTATCCGTCTCTCTTCTTAAAACCAGCAACGTCTTCGAAACACTCAAACTAATGATCGAAAACAAATTCTCAACAGTTCCTTCATTACTTGCGCGAAATTACCATTCCGATCGACCAGACAACCTTTCTTCCTCCGTTCCGCCGCAACACAGTTTCTACAATCCAGGATTTCATTAGAAATTACCTGTAACCTAACCCGACAGTCGTTTGCATGCAATTAAAGGCTAATTCGATCCGAGCCGGTGCGGAATTTAATCCAGCTAGAAAAAATAATTGAACGCGTGTGCGCAACATGTAGAAAGTCTGCAGAGTTTCGCGGAATACAATGAATCTTAGGGAGCGGACTGCAACAGGCAGTCTCATTAGCCTCGCGTCTGAGATTTCGTGGTCGCGGGAGAGAAACAATTCAGAGTGCAGTGATCTCCGGTCGCATTAGACGCTCGACGAGCGTCGATTACGCGAAAACGGCGCCGAACGAAGAAGAAAAACGGCGCGTCGGACCCGAGCGTCCGCGACCCTGCGCGCGTCTTCTAACCGCAAAGATGGCCGCCGGCCAGCCACGATCGCCGCTGGAACCTTTCTTCCGATGGTTCGTGCAACGCGGCGATTATGTAATCAACGCCGCGTGCTATGAGTACGTGTAATTTCGTTCCGAGAAGTACCGTTGACTGCTCGCTTCACCGCCTAAGGTGTACTCCTCGCTGCCTTCTGCAGCGTCCGTCAACGACACCGCGCTCCTCCACGCGAAAGACAAAAAGAGAACGATGGGAACCGATGATTGCTCACATTTTCAAGAGTTTCTTCGTTTGGGAAGCTAGAACGGATGCTGGAATTTATATTAGAGGATACCGAAGGTTCCCAAGGTTGATTATTGGGAGATTGACTCCTCGAAATTGATTGTTCCGGAAAATTACTGTCTCTATAGGTTCATCTTCGAAACTTGCATTTGGAAGACGGGATTCTTAACACTAGGTTTACGGAACGCGTCAATTTGACGCAGATTGAATTTTGTAAACATTATTTGGTAAATGTTTTAATCGATTTTCGTTGATCCAATTACACAGATGTGAATCCTGATTGTCTATTTCTACATCTATAACTTCCAAAATCTAAATGAACGAATATCAACTTCCCCAGGAACAATAGAATAAACTGTACAATGCCCGTAAACCTAGTGTTAAATTTATGTTCTGGGGTATGGAAGACTTTGGAGATTATTGTACAATTCAAACGTTTCATCTCTAAATCTCTAAATCTATCATGATTAAACTTTGTTCTCTCAAACTGCTTAGAAAGATATAAATTTTAAGAAGAATGAGAAAATTTATGTTTCTCTTGAAAGCTCTATCCTTCTGACATTCGTTTCACTAGATCATGTATACCAATAAGCAATTATATTCTTTGTGATCAAACCAACAATCTCCAAACACCATCACATCCATCAATTCTAATTCCACCACTTCCATAAAAGAACAGCCGCTACATGTTCAGAATACAAAATTCGAAATACAAGTAGACCAACAGCTTCATAAATCTTCCAGGAATAAAGTACCAACCTATAAACAGCGTCATGGACTATTTGTAGTTATATATAATAATTATGATTGAAATAAATGTAATTATATTTTCTATTGAAGATCCTAGAAGTGATAACAATAAATTACCGGCTGATATATTAGCTGAAAGTCGAATTGATAATGTCCATGGTCGAATAATATTTCTAATTGATTCAAATGAAACTATTGGAAATGAGCGATCAAATAATGAAACATTATATATTTTACAGTGTGACTTTATTATAACGGCTTTGAAAAACATGTCTAGCTCTTTCAAGTTCTCGAATGCGAATCACTCGGAACATCCAAAAGTAAGTTGGGGTCCGCTTTTTTTTACAAGGCCGTTTATGGCCTTGCCTGGAGAAAAGTCTCTTGACTTCGCGTGACAAAATCCAGACACATCTAGTTGCCTCGCCATCGTCTTTGTTTAGATTAAACATATACGAACGTTGGGCAATTTTGCTTTTGCTAGCTTAGCATTAGTAACGATGCAACAAAAGCTATAAATTTTAAAGTCCGTAAGTTTTCTTAACACCTTGTCGACCGGCAATTTTACGCAGAAACTATCCCATGTTACCGGTTATTATTCCGTAATTAAATATGAAAGTGAAACAATCTAAATAAACTTCAGTATACTTTATTTATCTTATACATAATGAATTGAAATGAAACTTTGGACATATCTTTTATGTAACTTTAAATATGTTGCTTTTGCGATATTCTATATTGCTCCGCGTATCAAAAATTGGAATGACTAATGCGAGTGCAAACACAAGTTAACTCGTAAACGGTCAACAATGTGTTAACCAGTTAACCGTGGAATTTAGTTGGAAAAACCTCCCATTCTGCGCGCAATAAAATCGAAAAATGGAGCGTGTACTCGTCGACCGCAAAACGAATGCATGCATGAAAAAATAAAGAATTCGCTGAAAGAATTAGTATCGTGTCAAACTCTACGATCACGTGTATACTCAAACACAGTTAACTGGTTAAATCGATCGTGCTCCCAGATCCGAGCGTCCAAAATTGAAACGTAGTCCCGGTTACGCAACCGTGTCGCAGCGCGCGTTCCTCGACGAACGATGCCGATCAGGAGGGGAAAAAAAGGGAATGGATGAAAGAGGAAGACAGGTAGATCGAGGGAACGTTGCGTGGAAGCAAAAGTAGTGGATGGTTGCGGGACACTTTCGAGCGGAGCGTAGAACCAAGGGGACTATTGGCTGACGGGTGGGGGGCCCGAAGGAATGTTACAAATGGGGTCGCAGCCGTTGAAGGTAAACGACTGCGCCCTGCTCCTCCTGGCGAGCTGCCTTCGGACGGATCGACGGAAAACGCTTGCCCATTCACATTCCCCGTGTGACTAATCCGGCCGATTGGAATACTAAGGAAAGGGACATTCAGACCGTTTTCGTGGTATACCGATCGGAAGAATTCCTTTCGCACAGCTCGGAATGATTAAAAATCGAGGATTTAACATTTCGATGGATGTGGGTCATGTGGTTGTTAACGTTCAGACGTTTTAACCCTTTCCGGACGGATGTCGGCATTGCGGTAAGATGAGATGCTCGTATTCGAAAGAAAACTCGCGAAAAATGATGCTATTAGTTGAACAGCAAGAGGTCAGAATGTGGTTTCCTTTTTTTAATTAAGCAATTGATATGTAATTTAGCTTCATATGTTGAAAGTATCGTATGTTTCGGATGTCGGCATTGCGGTAAGATGAAATGCTCGTATTTGAAAGAAAACTCGCGAAAAAATGATGCTATTAGTCGAACAGCAAGAGGTCAGTGGTTTCCTTTTTTTATTAATTAAGCAATTGATATGTAATTTAGCTTCATATTTTGAAGATTTTGTATGTTTCGAAGAATCTTCGTTCGTAAAGAATTAAATGGCACGACTTTTTCATGGTGCCTTTTGATCGATGATGAGGTTTGGTATATTGATGATGGAATGTTGGGATGATTTAGTTTGAAGAGTGTTAATGAAAATAATTGTTAGGTTCGGTTATTATTGTATGTACTTTGGATCTGAGTTTTCTTTTAGGTGTTGAGTTTATTTGGGTTTTTTTGTACGTGATTTGTGGGATAGGATAATTTTAGAAATGAACTGGATTGAGTTGTAATAGTTAATTCTAGAATTAATGACACTTATGGAAACTGGTAAAATATATTTATTTGGTTTGATCTTAAACGAATAGTATACATCGCATATTGGTCTCTTCAATAAATAGAAAATAAGTGTATAAATTATATAAATTAGGTTCATACATGATTCTGTTTAGTATGGTTTCATTCAAACACAATTAACAAACGCTCGGTAACAAGTTGTGTCGGGTTTGACCAACGTGACCAATGATTTGTCGTCCCTTAATGTCATCCACGTCCAATCGTTCAGTCTTACCATGTAAAAGTGATCTATTTCAGGGACCATTGGCTTCTCGGTGATTACGGTGTCGTTCCTAACGACTCCAGATGAATATCCCAAACTTTTGCATAAATCGTGGGCCTCTTCATTTGTGGCGACTGGCTTCGAGAAGCAATCTGTGTGCCACACACCGAAACTTCGAACAATTACTTCGCCGGAACCCGTACTGGAATGAAAATTGATGTATTAAGATCGTTTGTACTATGTTAAAATTAAAATTCATATTTGAAATTATTAAATAAGTATTTCCTTACTCGTCGCCTGGAGATGCTTTCAATTTTTTACATTCGGACTCGTCCTCGCCATCGACGCAATCGTTGTCCCCGTCGCAAATGAAGTCTTGAGGAATGCAGGTGCCATTTCCAATGAATCTGCGTGACAGAATTACAGCATTAATGGAATTCACAGGAAAATTGATTAAAATTAAATTCTAATGCTACTATATATATTGTGACTAGGGAAAACTGATACTTGTCTATCAAATTGAAACTGCTCTAATTAATTTTTCAATGAACATCACGCAGTTTTCTATTTCTTACGTCGTGCAGTTGAAGCTGTTAGCCACGCAAGGACACATTTCCGGCGATTCGTCGGTTTTATCCATGCAATGGCGGACACCGTCGCATAATCTCTCTGGTTTGGTTAATTTCAGGTACTCCGCGCAGGTGCACTGATTAGGTTCGTCCGATCCATCGGTGCAATCCGGGGTTCCATCGCAGAATGCACTTTTATCGACGCATTTGCCATTTGCGCAGCGTAGCTCTGACTTCAAGCAATCTGTATCGACATTGAACAATTATTTATTAATGACTTATTAACATGGAAATTAAATAATCTCATTTTTACTTGAAATTGATCTTCTTCTCTAGTATCTAATACTAGTACGCAACAAATACTAATTCATCTGATTATATTAAGAATTGTCCACTATCAATCTTCCCTGCTCTTCGTTATCAAATTACTCACTGCAGTTGTCAGTACTATTCCCGCAATGCTCGCGAATATCTTTGCAATATTCTGAATCTTCATCGGCTTGATCCCTGCAATCCGGAACACCATCGCAGACTCGATTTTTCGGAATGCATTGGCCAATATTGCACCGGAAACCGTCGCAAGAAGCTTCGACCGACGATCTAGCGCTGTCTGTAATATTAAATTATAAATATTCAACGAATGCAACAATATTAACTTCAATATTAATTTGCGGACGAATGTCGGCATTCTAGCGAGATGAAGTTGTATTTAGTAAACTATGTCGCGAACAAATGATTGAATTAATCAAACAAGATATCTGCGCGTTGTTTCCTTTTTCTCTGTTAATTAAGCAATTGATTAACTTAATCTGCTGAAGGTTTCGTATATTTCAAAGAATCTTCGTCCGCAAAGGGTTAAAACGATATGCTTATTTCGAATCGATTATAATTGAACTAATCGTTACCCAGAGCTTCCATCAAATAAGGATTCACATGGTCGATGCTGGTCAACGTTTGCGTACTCCGGAAGTCGCAGGGACCATTCTCATCTTCGAAAGTCGCTGCAGGGTACCATCCCTTTTTCCCGTAGCAAAATATCGTTCCACTCCATTCCGATGTTTTGTTTTCCTTCGAAAAGTAATATAGATATCTTAATGAATTCTAGAAGAAACTCATGAATTTCTGTCATTTTTCTTTTAAATTAGAGTTCGAGTATTAAAATCGAATATGCATGACATTGATTTCAGAGTGTGATATAGAATTATATAAACAACAATTACCGGACATTCAGAAATAGATGTATTAACGAAGCAACGCTGACAGTTTTGGCAATTCTTCAGTACTGGTCGCAAAGAAATCGATCTTGTCTCGTAGTTCTTATCGGTTCCAACTGCCACGCAAGAATCGTTTATTCCAGGGAGATATATCCTACGATTTAATTAATTGGTTGTCGGTATAGTTGAATTTATTATTAGGAAGCTATAGATCTTTAATTCTAATCAGTATTCCTTTCAGAAATTTAAAGAGACAGGAGTTAAATACAAATGTCTTTCTTCCTTGTGAATGGAACAATAGAATTCTTAGATTTCTCTAAAATTTTCATTGTTCTCATTTGATATACAATCTACAATTTAATTATTAGCACATTGAGCGCCGCGATAATGCAGGATTTTTAGTCTATCGTTTAATTGCTGATCCTACGTTCGTGTAACATTTTAGATATGTATAACACAAATCCAAAGTAAAATTACAAAATCGAATTCCTTATTCTTTTTCGTAAGTTAGAAATTTCGGCTTGATTGATGTTTAAAAATGTATCAATACAATCACCGACGCTCACGTTTTTAGTAACTGAAATTTAGCCGGCGTCCAATGTGTTAACACTAGGTTTACGAACATTTATTGTGCACTTTATAACATTATTCTCAGAAAGGTTGACGTTCGTTCATTTCGATCTTAGAAGTTAGAAGTTTAAAAGTAGACAATTCAGATACATATTCATATAATTGCATAAATAAAAATCGACGTGAACCCTTACCAAATAATGTTTATAAAACGCAATATACGTCAAATTGGCGCGTTCCGTAAACCGAGTGTTAATATTGCCAAGGTTTACCTATACCTACTTTTTCTCAAGAAACAGGGGTCGAACGTAACGAGTGAAATTCGCAGGATGTTTCAGGTGCAACAGAACGGACACCGAGCCGTTCACATGTTGCATCTCATCGATAATCGACACCTGTTGATGAGGACCGTCCACGTAGCGGAACAACGGGCCGTGACCGACGACCGCGGTCGTGTAATTGGTATCTAACCTAAAATCCAAACCAATTAATCAACACTCCCATACAATCGAACACAATTATTCTATAAAACGAAGGAGAAACTATGCATATTTCAAAAACAACTCCGATTCAATCTCACGAAAATGTCCTCCTGAAGAATTCCAAAATTCGTCAAAAAAGACTCACGCGGTATATAACACATTATATATTCTCTACCATTTGTTTCAGTAGAAATCTCCTCAATATTCCATTAAATCCAACCGAACCACTAAATAAAACATTAAAAAACTGAAACTGATAAGACTCATCAAGTCAACCTACCATCTCCCAAAAATATGTAACAACGTCTATAGTATAAATTCCATTTTACTTAACACTAGAACTACCGTACCAGTCAAAATGACTGGTTTCGATTCTTTTGTTTAGCAATTATTGATATCTTCAAGGCATTGAATATTCGAAGTGATTTTGAAAATAAATAGTTCCACTTGAGTACTATAATGAATGTCCGAAGAAACTGAAAATAATCTATTGTTACAATTTTTATAGGAATTGCATATTAATCGTATTAAATGCTCGGTAGTTCTAGTGTTATCACGTTGAACACCGCACGATTTCATAGTACAAAATGCTCGAAATGGAGAAAATATAATATTAACCCTTTGCACTCGAAAAATTTGTCGCTAGAAATATTCAATTCATTTTTATGAGATATAGATGACATTTTTTAAAACTTAACGAGGAATCTATTCACAATATAAGAACAATGGTATTTTATTTCTACGTTTCACGTGTCGACAGATTACTCAATACTTAATCTTAAGTACGAAATTTTACAATTTTGATGCACCAATCGAGTGATGACTGAGAGGCACCTTTGGAGTGCAAAGGTTAAATCATTCGATTGAATTGCATTGTTATTGCAGATTCATCTAACTGAATATCACCACATTGGCTAGCAGTATTTATAACAGAAATGTTTTCAAATAATCCTGGTTTAATTGATTGAACTATATTACATCAACGTGTTAACACATTGCGGGCCATTTTGTTCATTTCAACCTAAATCAGTTACACTCAATTCATTTATTTATTATTCAACATATTTTCGAGAGTTGCCATTGCAAATAGGAATAATTTCAAAGGGAATCAACTATCTACTTTTGTCAAAACTAGTAATGAAGCTATACAAGTATTTATTTAGTACTTTAACCCTTTGCGGTCCAAAGTGCTCTTGGTTTCTCACTTTGAGGTTCACGTCGACGTTAGTTCATTCAGTTGCAGCTTAACATAACGCTCTATTCATTTATTCAAGAATATTTGGGAGTCACTGAAATGTTACCTTTAAATGGTACAATTGTGATGCTACAAATAAATATAGAAAAAATTGTTAAAACAGGTAGAGGTTGCCATAAAATAGAATGTCGAGTGTGACTCGACATACGACTGCTAAAGGTTAATACTACGGTACATGAAAATGGTAATTTTACGTTTCTCGTGTACAACGTGTTAAGCAAGGCGTAAGATAGCGATCGCGTTGAGCTCGAAAATTGTTCCACTTGCCTGACATTTTCGGTGCATTTCGAGGCGGAGAGTAGCCAGTTAGCGTCCAATAAAATAGCCGAGCAACGGTAGTGGCCGTCGACGAAGATGGCGGCGAGCCAGGGCCACTGGTATTCGCGGCTTCCGGTTCCCGCGTCTACTATCAGGTGTGCGCTCTGGTTGACGCTCAGAACCGGTCTGCAACGAACGTAAACTCCTGGACAGGTTTTGCCCTGCTCGCTCAGAGAGGCCGCTGATAGACTCCTGTATAATGCAGCGTTCTTCTTGTCCCAGCTTATCGTCTGCAGCTCGTAGTCCCTCACGCTGACTGGTTCCGATGATTCTAGATAACTGAACAAGGACAACTTCCACTGTTAATCGTTTTCCTCGTTCCTTTTTCGAACAGATTTCATGCGCGTTGCCCTGTTCTTCTTACTGGATCAAGCATTCTTTTGAATTTACAAGCGCACAGTTTGCAGGCTTCTTTGAATTCCTCGCGGACAGATTAAGAACGTTAATGGAATTTAATGGGAATTTTTGATTTTTGATCGGAATTCACTAGATTACTGAATGTATTAGAAAATATTGAATAATGTAGTGTAGAATTTCAATTTGTATCGATAATATTGTCATTAGTTTGTATTGAAGTCAGTTATAGATAGCATGTCATAGATGACATATATAATAATATTGTCTTTAGTTTGTATTGAAGTCAGTTATAGATACTATACGTTGTAGATGACACATCGTGGCAGTTATAAATATATAAATGTAGAAATTTACAAGAAAGAAGGTATAGTATATTATTAATCGATATTGTATCTAGAACTGACACATTGTTGCAAGTTAAACGTATTCGAGCGATTACAGTAATTATGTAGCTCGTTATCAAGGGTTAATAAATCACCAATTTTGACAAGTGCTTACGCAAATCCGAAGTACGTGCACATGTTCTCTCCGATAAGCCTTATCGTGGATTGATTCCGATGCATTCTCGGCCGGTGACAAGCCGGTCGCCATTTTCCATTAACATGTTGGGTAAGGACTCCCTGCATCCGCAAAGATGGCCGCTGCTCCGCGTCGAGATACACTCGCTGGCCATCGGACAGCGTAACTGTGAATAAAACGAAACAAGTCGTACTTCAATAATTCAATTTAACAACTCGATGAGAAACTCCTTCAATTTCACCAAATAAATCGATTAATAGACTGAAAACAGTATGGAAATTTACATAATTAAATCAAGATCACTCACAGCAGTCGCGTTCGTCTTCCATGTAGTCGCAATCGAACTTTCCATCGCACTTCTTCCACGAATCTATACACAATCTGCTGGATCTGCAGTAGAATTCATTCTCCGAACAGATCTCTGCGAAATGTGGAACGGCCTGTCAGTAAGAAACAGAGCTACCGTAATAAATTATGATAATTTACCGCAATTCTCCTCGTCGGTTCGGTCGTCGCAGTCGAGAAAACCGTCGCAAATGGCGGACGGCTTCAGGTTGGACAAGTAATCTCTACAAGTGCAATTGAATTCGTCGCTGCTGTCCTCGCAGTCCACTGCTCTGTCGCATCTCTTGCTGATCGGGATGCTTTGCAGCAATCTAAATGATTCGGGAAAGTCATTACATTCATTTAGATACTTTTCTATTTACTCAGGTATCCATTTTTTGAAGAAAACTTCTGTTATTTATGCAAATCTTTACCTCGAACACGTAAAAATCGTCGATTCCGCGGTAGTCGACGATGACTCAGTGCTCGCATCATTAAGAAACTCAGTTGTTAATGGAATTACAGGCTCGGTGGTTTGGTCGTCAGTGAATTTGAACTGACTGGTCTTATCGGTAACCTCACTGTCAGTCTCTGAAATGTTAATATATAATAAACAATATCGAGAATTAACTTTTTAGAGACTTACCAGTGACTAGAGTATTCTTAGAAGTGCTCGAAGTCTCATTCGTAGGATCCATAAATTGGAAATCGTTAGGTGCACTGTTTAGATTTCGATATAGGGGATATTTGTCACTAGCAGAGCAATACAGTTCGTCCTCGCCGTCTAAACAATCTACTATTCGATTGCAACGTGCTTCCATTGGCAAACATTTGCCTAGACCTCCATTGCAACTGAATCCTGGACATTTTTCTAGAGGCGACCGTCTGAGAGGCGGTAAACCTTCATCGTCTGAAACAAAAGACAATTATGTTCAATTCCATTTGAATTTATCTCTTTTCATTTACACATGATTTATTTAAAATTTATTTTTACTGCAGCTTTCTTTCGTTTTATTAACCCTTTGCACTCGAAAGTTTTTTACTGGAAATATTTAACGACGACATTGTTTGAAACTAATTTAAAGCAAATTCACAGATACATTAAGCGACAAAGCTGTTTTAGTAAAATACTTCCTATAGCGATACAAAGTTTAATTTAAAATACTTGTCACCTTTCGAGTGCAAAGGGTTAATATGCTTCTTTCTCAATTCTTAATTTCATTATCCTTCTTCCTTCTTATTTCTTTTCTAGGTTAAAGGATGATGTTCCAGATGACTCACTGGAAATGCTTCGAATCCAATTCAAGAAGTAGCTGACTTTAGTGTAAGCACCCGGCTCGTCTGGTCGAGCGCAGCCTTCGCCATGACTGATCACACCTGCCACGTACCATTGCGATTGTACGTATGGGTTTCTGCGAATACACCGAAACAATTTCATTCTAGAATCATCGTATTGTGCGAATTATTTTAGGGAGTACTTATGAATGTTACGGATCAAGATCTAGAATGGATTATAATTATCGCGAAATATTTATTAGTAGGTTCCTTACGTTTTGATATTAATGATTATTAACTGTGATTGAACTGTAACTTTTCCAGGAATGACGTTAATTAATTCTTACTTGCACATCAAAGGGCCGCCGCTGTCTCCTTGGCAAGCGTCGCGTCCTCCTTGAGGGTAACCGGCGCAAATCACCGCGTCGTGTTGATCGAATTCGTATTTGCAGTTGTTCAATATTGGCACCTCGACTTCTCGCAAATGGTCAGCTGTAAATCAAGCCATTAGCAATCTTTGTATAATTGAAATTGAACTATTGACATGTTCAGTGCTACATGTATCACATATGGTACACGCCAATTTTTGTAAGAAAATATTAACATATATCAAAATGACCAAAAACTTGAAGATAACTTAATATTTTATTAAAGACATCGGTAGAGTTTATAATCAAAGTATGATCGAAATTTCCGTGACGTTAATTCGGGTTCTTCAAGAATCTTTGATGACTTTCAAGAATTTTTTTAGGAATACTATAAACTGCAGCCTGATATTAATGATGTCAATATTTATAAAAGATGATAAGATTGGAATATCAATATTAATACTAATAAGAATATTAATACTAATAAGAATACTAATAAGAATAGTAATAATAATACTAATAAGAATACTAATATTAATACCAATAAGAATACTAATAAGAATACTAATAATAATACTAATAAGCATACTAATATTAATGCCTTTTTTTAAATATACAAAATGTCTTACGGTCTGGTCCATTTTCCCTCGTAGCTCCCCAACCAATCGCAATGCAAGTAGAGTTAACTTCCGGCTCTTGTCTCCACATACCACCCAAAATGTCGCTTTCCGGTAAACAGACAGGTCGCACCCACCGATTGAACCTCAGAGGATCGTCTAGTTTTATCATTCCAATATCGTTCCTCATATTCTCCCCATCGTACTGCGGGTGAATTATGGTGTACCTAGCTCTTCTAGATTGCGCCATTGGCGAAAATGAGGATCGACGTAGCAAGCCAGCTTGGATCTCGAAATAATGGCCTGTGTATCTAGGTTTCATAAAAATTAGAATCACTTCAAATAATATCAATTAAAAATTAAATCATTCGTTTACTTAAACGATTAACTTCACGAATCGAGAAGTAGAAAAAGACAAAATTACACGTGCAAGGAATCAAGTAAATGTTTTAGCAATAAAATTTGCAAATATGCAACAAATAGAGTTAATTACTTTGATCTGTATATAATGCAATCAACACATAGATCAATTAAATCAATAGCATAAATTTATTAAATGTTTCGAATATGTTTCTACTTGTCTCTTAAACATGTAAAAATGGCATGAATTGTTTTCCGCATTAATGAAGTAGTAATTATTGACTAATGATTAACCCTTAGCACTCCAGGTTGTTTTGTAATCTATCAGCAACTGTAATTAATTTTTATAGCATTCCTAGCGAAAATTAGAAATGCTATAACATTTCTTCGATCTCTTATTTTCTTTGTTAGTACAAAACTTGGATGTGTGGAAAATCGAATAATTTTAGGGTAGTTTCTTTAAGATTCATTAAAATATTTAATATTATAACTGGTGCAATATTGGAGCCTACAGAGTTCAAAGGGTTAATAAATTAATTTTTGTGGATTAATACAAATCCAGTACTTACCCGTCGAGGCAATGAGCCGCAGTAAGGATCCACAATTCGTTCAAAATGACGCCGCCACAGTAGAAAGTACCATCCTTGTTAATAGCTACTAAAAATGGCCACGCGTTTGGATGACTGGCGCGACCACCGACTACTCGCAATTGGGAACCGACTATGTCGTCTCCATCGTCGTTCCCTCTAACATGCATATTATGAACATTCACAAAATCGTGTTGCAGGACATCATTAAATACTGGCAAAATATTTTCGCCCTCCTTTTCGAGGACTTGAGGTCGCAGCGAGCTCTGATTCGTCGGGACCCTGGTACCACAAGGAAACTGTGGACAACGAACATACGCTGCGCTGTTCATACAGTCTGGAATTAATTTTATCTCTCCGTTTATTTCCACTATGTATGGTCCTTGATAAACATTTTTTGGTATTGAATGCATCCTGGTTTGTGGCAGTTCGCTGCAACAGAAATTATTATCTTTCTATAAAACTTTGTACTTTGTCTTTAAATTATTTATATTGTTTCTGTGAATTAGTTTTTAATCTTGCACATATATTTTCTGATTCTGTTAACTATAACACTTAAACGGTGTTTGCTAAGATCATTAAACAACTGAGTAATTAAGTAGAATTCCAAGAAAATCGAATGAAAATGTCTCAGATCTTAAAGAGACATTTTTTTTCTTAAAAATAATATTGTTTGCTAATCTCAGAATTAAGAAACGAAAAATTGGTCAGTGTTTCAATGAATTTCATACGTCGAGCAGTTCCTAAGCATCACTCGTTACAGCTCGTTAATCAGATTAAATAAAAAATGATGAGCATAAAATTGATCGTTAATCAAAACGAATTTTATATTTTTGAGTAAGAGTTAATACTTTAATTCTGATCCAATCTCAGAGACGCAAGCGTCCTTTGTCCAAGAATCTCTCGGTGTGCAGACAGGGTACCATTGGCCCATGAAATTCTTGTGAAGATATCCTTCGGTATACCCGATTGAAAATACCTAGTAATTAGACGATTGAGTAATGATAATTATAGGGCATGTATGTATGTAGGTAATTTATAAACAGAATTATTTTATACATTTTTCCCTTCGACGAATGTTGATGTGAGTATATTACAATCGACCTCGTCCTTTCCATTAGGACACTGTTTAATACCGTCACAACGTTGAGAAAGAGGAACACAATTGTCAGGACTATATTGTGAGCGCCAATCATTGCAGCTGAACGATGTTTTCGGACAACCTGGAAAAAATGATATTGAATAATAAAAATGATAAAATGTTGCTATTGCAATTATGTTTTAACCCTTAACACTCCAGGTTGCTTTGTAATCTATCAACAACTGCAACTAATTTTTATAGTATTTTTATAGTATAGTATTTATAGTATTTTTATAGTATAGTATTTATAGTATTTTCATAGTATAGTATTTATAGTATTTTTATAGTATTTATAGTATTTATAGCGAAAATATGAAATGCTGTAACATTTCTTCGATCTTTTATTTCCCTTCTCAGTGCAAAATTTGGATGTGTGGAAAATTTAATAATTTTAAGGTAGTTTCTTTAAGAATCATTAAAATATTTAATATTATAACTGGTGCAATATTGGAGCCTACAGAGTTCAAAGGGTTAATCATTTTTGCATCAAAGGTAATATTTTATAGATAAAACAGTTCTCAGATATTAAAAGTGGACAAAACGAATGGTGCCATCTTAGGTAAACAACGTGAAACTGTAGTTCGTCGCAAGTGTAATTTATTCTACTCTACTCAGTCGATGAAGTAGAATTCTATAGCATTATATCTAGCCCGTGATAATAAAACTACTGATATTTGCATCAAATTTATGATTTAACTTAATATTCAATTCTTCTTTTTCTTTAATAACTTCTTATAAAAACCTGTTTGATTTCAGTAATTGTGCAACAAAGAATTGATAATTAATCATTATAATCAATCCGGTAGTTCGAACATTTATTTCGAACTCAAAGAGAAATCACAAGTAAATTGAGAAACAAAGCTTTTTTATCTCAACATTTCACACACTGATTTTTACTGAATCAAATCGAGTGGTGGCTGAGAATCACCTCTCAAATGACCCCAACTTCCAACTTAAAAAATGCATCTATAGTTTTCCGTTCTTCTTGAAATCAAATAAAAATTACATAATCCTTTTCTTATTGTGCAAAAGTGATTGTATGTATTGTTTCCGTGTTAACCCTTTGAACTCTGTAGGCTCCAATATTGCACCAGTTATAATATCAAATATTTTAATGAATTAAAGGAACTACCCTAAGATTATCAGATTTTCCACACAAATTTCGTTAAACCAGTAATCGCGAATATTCCTTTCGCAAAAGTATGATCGGTAGCTAAAGTAAACGAACCGATAGGTTTAGTGTTAATATTCTGCACAGGATATTATAGAATTTTTGAATGCAAAATATCAGAATATCGGAATTCAATACTACACACTTACCCAAGCATCCCAGCTCATCTTCCCCATGCGGACAGTCGAAGTATCCATCGCAAAGCCTGTCTTGAGATATCCGATCTCTGCAGGAACACGTGGTCTCGTCACTTGCATCGTTGCAGTCCACCTGTCCGTTGCACCACTGTGACCTCGATATACATCGTTTCCCGTCGTTGCATCGGATAGTATTGTAGGGACACAAAGTAGAGGGATCTAACACCATAGAAGTCAGAGTCACTCGAGATCCTTGAGGTATCTGTTAGGTCATTCTATAAGTATTGTAACTGTTCAACCCTAACTTCCACTGCAAACTATTAATCCTTTGAACTCGGAAGTTCCTCAGTTGAAACATTTAACAGTTTTTGTTGAGACAGTTTTTGGTTTTCAAAGATATTCTTTGAAACTCACTCGATAGGAAATAACAAATCCATTGAGGAACAAGCTATTTTTCAATATTTTACATATCGAAGTATACGAAGTTCATCATTAACCCTTTGCACTCGAGTGACTCTTAGTCACCACTTGATCTCATGTAGTAAAACTATAAAATCTGATATTCAATATTGAACTGTGTATAATGTGTCGGTGTGCAAAATATTCGGATAAAAAAGCTTTGTTAAATATTTATAAATTAAGCGCAAAGGATTAATATCACAATCCTATACTTACTACAAAGTATAGGAAACAAACATCAACACTACCCCTCCTAAACAAGTCAAAATTATCCTTCTCTTACAATCATCAAAATACATATCCCCAAAAAATCCTCCAATCAACTGAACCAATACCCCAAAATCCGATCCACTTCAATAAACACCCGACAAACAAAATACAAAACGATTCCACAGTAAACTGCCAGAACAGTTCACCGTCAAACCAACATTCGCAGTCGGTAGGACTCGAACCTACGCTCCCAGAGGGAATCTGATTTCTAGTCAGACGCCTTAACCACTCGGCCACGACTGCTCGTTTCCACCCCCAGAACATCCACCTAAAACTCGTCATCGAAGAGAACATTCCTTATAAAATGACCCAACACCTATAAACTCCTCCAATCATCTCACCAGTCGATGCGTTTGTCCTTCCAGATCCACTCCGCTTGCCATCGTCGCTCTTCTCTCCCTTGTTCGAGGCAGAATCCGACGACCTCTGATATTCAGACATACCAGGAATAGCTGGGAACTGGAAAGTGGGCGCAGGAATGTAGGTGCAGTAGTAAGGAGCCTTCCCAGCTGCTCCAGTTGCGCTAGGCGAAGCCTGTGGCCCGGGGTACATGGGGTAGTTTATCATTCCAGGTCCAGTCGGCCCCATCCTCTGGCCGGGATTCCCAAAATAGCCCTGCATCGGCGTGAATTGCACCGACTGCGCGTGCACCTGCACGAAATTCGGCGCCTGTCCTGAACTCTGCGGACCCATCCTCTGCTGGGGCATGGACACCGGGTAAGGGGCACCTGGCGAGGTCGCTGGGTACACGATTTGACCCGGTGCCACTTGCCTGCCGGGGACACCGTTCCCCGGAGCACCGTAGAAGCAGACTTGGTAAGGCATCCAGGACATCGTCGGACTGATTTGCAACTGTTGCGTGGATTTCGTCGTCTCCGCGGTGGGGATGATCGTTGGACTGTCTTTCGACTGGAATGGACCTTTCGACATGATCCTGGCTTTCTTGAAACTTTGGAGCGTTTGGTGGTTCCGGTCTGAAAGGGATTGTATCTCAGTTACATTGAAAAACTATTCCTGAATGGTGAGTACTTTTGATTTTAACCCCTTGCACTCGAGAGGCGCCTTTCACTCGCCATTTTATTTGAACCAAGGAAATTATAAAATTAAAAATTCGATATTAAATTTTCTATAATTTACCGACACATGGAACATCGAGATAAAATAGTTTCGTCACTTGATTTATGCAAGGTATTGTTTTATATTAATTGTGAAAGATACCATTGATATTTCATCGGAAAATAAGGAATATTTGTTGCGGAAAATATTCTGGAGTGCAAAGGGTTAATTTTATTTAACCCTTTGTTATACGAAGTGCTTTTGGTTTCTTAGTTTGAAGTTCACGTTAGTTCATTCAATTGAAGCTTAATATGACGCTCTATTTATTTATTCAAGAATATTTGGGAGTCATTGAAATGTTACCTTTAAGTAGTACAATTGTGATACTATAAATAAATATAGAATAAGTTGTTAAAATAGGTAGAGGTTGCAATATAATAGAATATGACTGCTAAGGGTTAACACAAGATTTACGGAACGAGTCGTATTGAATTTTGTGAACATTATTTACTAAATATTATGGTCAATTTCGATTGACACAGTTAGGCAAATATGTATTCTAAATCATTTACTTTTAAACCTCTAATTTTCAAGATCAAAATGAACGAATATCCATTTTTCTAAGAACGATACAACGAACTATACTAACTTAACCTTTTAACCCTTTGAACTCTGTAGGCTCCAATATTGCACCAGTTATAATATTAAATATTTTAATGGATTTTAAAGAAACTACCCTAAAATTATTCGATTTCCCACACGTCAAAATTTTGTGCTAACAAGGAAAACAAAAGATCGAAGAAATGTTAAAGCATTTTTAATTTTCGCTAGAAATACTATAAAATTTAGTTGCTGATAGATTACAAAACAACCTGGAGTGCTAAGGGTTAATACAGCCACTATCTCATAGCTAGAATACTGTATAATTCCAAAAATCTCCAAAGACGAATAATCTTCAAACCAAAATTCCTTTACCTAAAAACAACATTCGAAACCCTACACATCCCAAACTAAAAATATCCAAGAATATCTAAACAAAGAAACCATAAAACGTCCAACTAACATATTCCCAATATTCCACAATTTCCCCTCAATCTCCCTAATCTTAAGCATCCTGCGCCCATCAAACTATCAACTTTTCATCAAAGAATATACTCCACAACCCCCACTTACAGAACCTTCGAAAGAAGGACCGATAAAGCTCAAAGTAATAGTCCCATCAAACCGCTGTTAATGGCGTCTATAACAGGCTCCTCCTAAAAACTTAGGAACACGTTCCACGTGGCTTAAAGCCCATCTACATCGAGCCATAAAATCGATCTGAAGTGCACCGATGCTTTCGCCGGGGCACGCGGCGCGACAGTAATAAATAATGCATCTACCGTTCCCAGCTTCCCCATTCGTGGCCTGTTCCGCGTGACCTTGGTCCGAAGGATGCACCGAAGGATGCACCGCGCCTTTCGCGATTTCCCTCACGTTCCCAGCGTCTGCCGCGACGGTCACGTTCCCCGTGCTCGCCGTCTGCTCCATATTATCGATTCTGCTCGTTTGATTCGCCGCTTCCTCCGTTCCGTCCAACCGTTTCGTAGTTTCATTGACCACCTCCGGTGCCTTGAACGCTTCCTTCTCCGTGTTCCCCGTCGTCGACGGACCCGGCGACGTTCTCGTCGCTTCATGCCCCGAATAATCATCCGTTTTCACACCGTGTCCACTTTTGATGGTCGTAACAGTCGAGTGTTTCATTTCTTCCTGATCCTTCGGATCTACGGTGTGATCTTTGCTATTCGTTTGGTTAGAGTCGATTTTCTGTAGATTAATGGTCAGGGAGCCAGATTTTTCGTTTGATTGATCTTTCAGAGGATCAGAGTTATTTTGAGTAGGAGGATCCTCCATTTTGTATTTATCTTTGATGATCGAAGAACTAGATTTATCGTCTGTTTGATCCTTTAGAGAATTAGATTTATTATTCTTGTCATTCGTTTGAGTAGGAGGATCCTCCATTTTGTATACATCTTTGATGATCGAGGAACTAGATTTGTCTGTTGGATCGTTTGGATCAAAGATAAGATTTCTCTCGTCTGTTTCATCGAAATGATCGTCCATTTTATAGGCATACCCATCTTCCATAACCGAAGTTGTCGACTTTTTAGTATCTTGATCTTGCACGTCGTCTGTTTTGTCGTTTAGTAATCTGGTGACGACGTTCATGCTGTGCTCTAATTGCGAGCGGTCATAGTGTTGATACGGTGGTCGATCGTGATCCTCAAATATGAACGTGCTTCCTGGGCCTGAATCGTCGATGAACGTTATCGAGTCGTTTTTGCACTCGAGACACTTGACCAGCTCCTTCAACTGCGATTCGGGCTCGTTCTCTTTGTTCAGCATCGTGTGAAAGTGTTGCAGGTTGCTCTTCACGGTGTTCACTATCTTCAACATCGAATCGATCACTTGTTTGCAGTGTATCGCGTTTTGATTGCACGGAGCTTCTGCTTCTCGTTTCAGGCGATTATGGTCTACCCGGGACAACGTTCGACGCGTTTCCAGGGGTAGATCTCGATGACCGTCATTGTCGAGCAGTCGGTAGACGTCCAGGAGGTTCACCTCGCGTCTCTGGATCTCTTGAGGCTCGTTGTTGCTCGGTAATGGGACAAATTCAATTACTTGCTGGTACAGTTTCGATTTGTAGAGGTAACCTAGTGGAAATTAATATTATTTCTCTTCCTCCTTGATTCTGATGGGTTTTCAATTTTGTGTGGTCTATGTTATTTTATTTATAATTCTTGTCGACTTCGGAACTCGAGGTGCCTTTATTTTATGTTTGAGATAATGAGGAATAAATTAGAGTTACTAGTTCTTTATGCTATCGTTATGGATTTATTGAAGATTTTTAGATTTTCGATGATAATTCTTTGAATGGTTTATGAATATTATTTCTATTCTCTGTGCTTGAATAAATAATTAATATAAACAATTTACCTGATGTGCAGGTTAAATAAATTACGGAAGCGACGAATATCATGGCCAATGTGATGAGCAAGGTTTTTCTCAGGAATATTAGTCTGAAGTGTCTCAGAAACGTCCAATTGAAGCGGCTAGCTGCATCCTTGTAGCCATTCGATCTCGCAGGAGGAGTTATCGGAACTGAAAATTAATAGGAAGTTAATAATTAATTAATTAATAAAAAGAAATTAATAATTAATAAGAAGAAATCGCGATCAACTGAAAATATCGAATTTAAGGAGCCATGATTCGATGGAAATTTCAATGAAATTTGATTAATAGAAATTTGATTTTATTGTACATGGAGTAGAGATTGCAATATACCATTTTGCGGCTCAGCCAAGTCAACGCGGCATTCGCTGCCTGTTATTGGTACATTTTGCAGCTTCGAGGGCACGATCTTGTATTCAGTGGCCATGGCTGGAGGATTGCTGGCAAATCTGAAGCAGGACTAGACAGACGTGACGAGATGATGAAGTATTCTGAGAACATAATACACGAGAGTGCGACACGGTCGTGTGCGATGAACACTTTATTATCCGAATTGACCTTCTGTTGCAATCTCGTTAAATGAAATGATACTATTTACATGCATCATTTCTTTCGCAGAAGCTTCTTGTTACTTTCGATTGAGCACTCTTATCTTCCACGATGATATTTGAAACAATATTCGTGATAACAATTGAAATATGCATTTCTATTCTACAATTACACTCGAATATATAAAGTACAAAAAATGTTACAAACAATCAGAAAATAGTTATAAAATATAATGATCATATGAACAATATTACCCTCTTGTATGAATTATTTCTTATCTATAATCAACAACTTCATCGTTAATAACTTATTAGTAAAAGAACAAATTTGCTCATTCTATCTCAAAGTCTCCTCAAAAGCTTAACGATCAATAATAAAAAGGCAACACCTAATTCTCATTAGAACAAAACAAGTAACATTTAATGTTTCAAATTCAGTTTAATTTTCACGAGCTTTGCAGTATCGTAGGTGAAGTGGTTAAGATTCTTAATATTAATAATAGCAGTTTCTTGAATTGCAGATAGTCGCATGAAACGGCAATAAAAAGGAATTGACCCAGAACATTAATTTTCCTGAAAATCATACGAAGCGCCGCGGTGTTCGAGTTTCGCAGTTTGTTCGGCGTCGTTCGCGTTTCGTTTCCGATCCACCGGTCCGGGTAAACAACGCGGAAGGAAGTAGTTACTCACGTTTTCAAGCTCCTAAAGCGGCGTTCTCGATAGAATCGTTTCCATTCGATGAGCCGTGGATATCCGCCGCTCGGGAAACAGCCTCGCCACGTTTCCCGTGGAAACCTGTGCCCGCAAATGAACCGTGCACTCGGCGTCTCCGGCACGAAATAACCAAGAGATCCGATAGACGGAAGCATTACTTCGCATCGTATGTGTCAGCAATACCGACGAAAATCGGTCTCGGCAGATTTCATCATCGCGGGGTCGTGTGAATAACCCTATCGGCGCGTCGCGCAACGCCATTTTGTCGGGCGTGCGTTTAGGCACACGTGAGCTGCGATCTCTTCGAGGTAGAATTTTAGGTTATTCTGATGAATTTGTTATTAATATTTGAAATCTGAGCAATTTTGTGAATGTAACAGTATACTTACTTTCGAACGTGGAAGGGGGACAGTAGAAACTTGCATTGTAATGAACCTAAAGCTTATTCATGAGTTTTGTACGATTTTTTTTATTAGACAGTTATGAAAGTTCAAAGGTTAGACATTTTTTTAGTAGAATATTGATTCTTTAATTTGTTGGAGTAGGATATATTAAGAAATATGGGTTTTAAAAATATAATTGATATTTTTATAGATAAATGTAAGATAAGAAGATAGAAAAGAGATTGGAAAGTCTGCAGGTTAATTAAATATTGAGCAACTTCGAATGAATGTAGAATAAGAATTAAATATTTGAAATATTTAGCAACTTCGAATAAATGTAGAATAAGAATTAAATATTTGAAATATTGAGCAACTTCGAATCAATGCAGAATAGCGGAGTAGAGAGTGAAAGAATTTCTGGATTGCCAAATAAGCTCTGATTTTTTAATTGTTCCGGTATTTGCGTTGGAATAATGGTTTCACTCATTTCTATTTCTTGTGAAATCTCCCCTTTCTCGCGTGCCGCGATATATGCTTACGCGCAGTTAAAACGCTGCGCTTACTTTCCAACAAAAGGGCCCAACACTCGGAAACGCGCTTGTTATTTCCGCCACATTTTAAGCGTAATAGGATCCCGCGGTGTCACGGGCTTGTTGCTAATTGCTGCGTACACGTATGCAAGAATGCGCTCGCATACGCACATTCGACAATGAAAACTGCTCCGTCCAGCGATCCGGCAACCTGTTTATACACAAAAATCTGGAACAACGAGACACTGAATATAATTACATTCACGATACTAAAAACAGAAACCTCTGAAAATAAATTCTCCATCTAAACTTCGCAGGTTAATTATCAAATAATTAATATAATATTTACAATAATAACAATTTTATCAACTTCCAAAAATCAATTCCCGATCTGAATTCTGCAAGTCTGTTAACAGAATATTTGCAAATCTTCCTCAACTGGAGACGAACTTTTTCAATATATACTATTACGTTTCATCATCAGATCAATATTCAATTCATTTCGATCATAAATTCTCCAGATCACTCTACATATTTTCAACTCGTTCTGCCAGACAAAAGAGAAACGTAAAAATCACTTGGTTTAACCCTTTGAACTCTGTAGGCTCCAATATTGCACCAGGAATAATATTAGATATTTGAATGCCTTTCAATCGCCGTTTGATTTGACCGAACAAAATGATCAAATTTAGAATTCAATATCAACTTTTATATAATTTATCGACACATGAAACATCGGAATAAAATAAAACACAAGTATTTCTTTATATTAGTTGTAAAACATATTGATATCTCATAAGAAAATAATGAACATTTGCTGAGAAAAATATTCTCGAGTGCAAAAGGATAATATTAGATATTTGAATGAATCTTAAAGAAACAACCCTAGCATTATTCGATTTTTCACACATCCAAATTTTTCACTAAGAAGGAAAACAAAAGATCCAATAAACGTTACAGTATTTTTCATTTTCGCTAGGGATACTATAAAAATTAGTTGCAGTTGCTGATTACAAAACTATCCGTAGTGCTAAGGATTAATCATTTCTCCTGACTTTGAACAATAGTCGAAATAATTTCGCTGTACGACAGCATCTAAAAATCTCGTCGAACCTCGCCGCCGATCTACCAAACGATCTAACGCCGTTCAATGCCACCAGTGCCAAGGTGCAAATAAACAATCGCCGGCCGTGGCCAGCCGCATTACGTAGAAATTATTTCAGCCGCTGTAACGCGGATCATTGCGCAACCAGATTCTCCTTTACTTTCTCCTGCAAGTGCTCGGCTCGCTCGGCCGGCAATCGATGAAAGTGACAGTCCGTGTTCTAACGTTACCTAAACCAGGTTCTCTCCTAAAACCCCGTTGCTGTGTCTTACCTGTTCCAAACTGAAAAAGAAATACACCCGCGAAAAGGAAACACAAAGTAAAAAGAAACGATCGCGAATATTTCCGAGCATCGATCGTTCACAGTCTCGTTGTTCCGCCGGTGGCAGTGCCATGCTAATCAGACGTGACCCAGAAACAGGAAACTTTGAAGGCTGTCGAACCGACGACGACGCCGTGGCTACGGAGTGGTTCTTACAGCCCCGTGAAATCGTGTAGGATCGTCTTCGCGAGTAAAAGGAACGTTTTTCATCATCGAGGAATCAGACTGCGGACTTTTATGTAAACTCGCGTTTTCATTCTTATATGCTGCATCGCTGAGGTAAAATGTTCGTTGTGTTAATCACTCTGATGGAGTATTGAAAAGGGGAATGAGATTTTTATGAATTATTTTTGAATTCTTTGGATAGTGATTATTTGTAAGTTAACAGTGTATGGATATTTATATATTGTCACGTGTTACGAAACTGAGATAAGCTACATATGTAGTTTCTATATTTAATTGTTAGAGTAGATTGAAAATGATGTTGAAGAGATTGAAAATTAACCCTTTGCGGACTTGTAACTTTGAGAATTCTTCGAAATATGCAAAATCTTCAACATATGAAGCTAAATTATATATCAATTGCTTAATCAATAGAAAAAGAGAAAACTACGTGCTGATCTCTTGCTGTTCGACTAATTAGATCATTTGTCCACGACTTAGTCTTCCAAATCTAAACTTTCATCTCACCGAAATGACATCCGTCCGCAAAAGGTTAAATTTTGTTAATGACAAATTCTCTATATTATTCTCTTCGCATCTTCGCAAGTCATATGGACCACCAAAGGTCAGAAAGATCGAATTTACATTTTCACTTTGAAAAGTCAGGAAGCCAAGGTAAAATAAGTTCGCATGTCCCACGTTAACACGTTGAATGCCACACGATTTCATGTAGCAAACTATACGCTATGAAAAAAATATAATATGAAATTATCCCACTGAATCGTTTTATTTTTATTGCATGTTTATCTGGCCGAATGTCACATTAGGCAGTATTACTTATAATATAAAAATGTTTGCAAATAATCATCGTTGAATTGATTGAATTATAGTAATTCCATCTGGTCGGAGGTCCATGGCATTCAACGTGTTAATAAATCTCATTAAATGTTCTACTTTATCCTCCGTAGAAAGTCTCCGTGAATCTACATAAATCCAACCATCAGGTAGAACAAATTTTCGTGTTTGCTCTGCAATGAACATCGTGAAACTCGATTAAAACTAGCTTGTGTCTCCCGCGTCAATATTCGGAATATAATGAAAGATAACACGTTCCGTGCCAGACCGTTTTTTGAAGACTTTCCGTTCACGCTTTACAATCGTATTGTTTTGTTTCTGGAGTATGACTTAGATTGATTAAAATTATGCAAAAATCATAACTATCAAGGAAAGGGTGTATAGTTTAAGATGCATAACACAACAAAACAGTAAATTTATTTTTCTAGGAATTAGTTCAACAAATACCTGGCTGAACATTACTCTATCGAGCGAGTCGCATCCTCGCACATAATATTTTCTTATGATGTCTATATTAGTTTGAAATAAAACATTTTAGTTGAAATATATTTAATATTACATTTATATGACAAGTTTGTATATAATCAGGAAGGTATGTTACGGTGAACTTTGTTAAAACATGGCAAACATAAATGTGGTTTATCCACACAACTATCACAGAATGTTGCACTTTTACAGTACAGTTTTTTGCCGATTGGGAACCGAATTTTTTAACGATAAAACAAATCGTAGTAAAAAAAATGACTACCACGCCGGCAATAGTATTAACCCTTTGCACTCGAAAGTTTTTCACTAGAAATATTCAACACTCTTTGATAAAATACAGACGATGCTTTTGCGACTAATGTAAATAATTTAATCGATAAATTAAAGGACAAAACTATTTTACTTTGATATCTCACATAGTGACGCGTTACACAAAGTTTAATGTTAAACATCAAACTTTATAATTTTACTGTATCAAACCAAGTGGTAGAGAGTCACCTCCCGAGCGCAAAGGGTTAAGATGCCCATAATTGACTGAATAATACATTTTTAATAAATTCTTCATTTTACAATGACAATACCCAATGGCTTGAACGGAAAGTTCAGCACGGAACGTGATAATCAAAAAGCAGCACACGAAATTCTACGAAATCCTACGAAATTTTCAGTGCTACTCTTTTCCCAAGGATGTTGTGAGACTATAAATGCATAAACATCCGCAGTCAAATGATAAATCACGTTCCTCGTCGTCTATTTTTGCCGGAGCGTCTCGCTGATCCAGTTCCATGATCAAAGCCGGCGACCCGCGCGAATGACGCGGCTGCCGCCGACAGTGGACGAGAAATGACTGGATTACGACGGAAGAAAGTGTCGCGAGTATTCACGTGGAAAGTGGCCGCGATCCGAGAACCGGTCCCCTGCCGAGGAAATCGCCCAAAAAACGCCCGGAGGGTACACGCAGCGTTTTCGCAACGCGCCGTCTAATGACCTCGGTGAGTGATTAACGAAAGAGCCCCTCGATGACTCGGAATATTTCCGAAGTTACCGCGGTTTTCGTAATTCTTCTTGATGACATAGTCTACTAGTTCATGGGTAATGGGATGACACGAGGATAGTGTTTGGTTTTAATTGGTTAGAAAATCATAGTGATGGAGTTAGTAGTGTATTGTTAATTAGTGAGATAATATTGAAAATTAGATGGAGAGACGTAAGTAATTAGATTTGCATCTCTCAGTATAGGCATTAAGCGGTACTGTTTGTTTGCTACTCAATGACTAGTAAGATAGCGTTGAAACTAGATTTCATTTGTTGTGTTTATAGTTTTTGGTTACATAATCGTATTGACGAATAGTGAATTAATAGTGTATTATTAGTTATTGAGATAATATCGAAAATTAGATGAAGAGACAAATAATTAGACCTGCATTCCTCAGTACAGTCATTAACTGATATTATTTGTTTGCTACTCGATGCCTAGTAAGATAGAGGAGGAATTACAGGTTTCCCTCGCTATTTGTTGTGTTTATAGTTTTTATTGATAACGTAATCTTACTGGCGAATAGTAAATCAGTAGTGTATTATTAGTTAGTGAAATAGTATTGAAAATTAGATGGAGAAAGATAAATAATTAGACCTGCATCCCTCAGTATAGCAGGAACAACAGGTTTTCCTCGCAGTTTGTTATGTTTATAGTTTTTATTGGTTGTGTGTAACCGTACCGGTGAGTTGCAAACTGGTATTGAAAATGAAATGAAAAAGCATGAATGGTGACTAAGTAGACTGGTATTCTTCAGCGTAGACTTTAAGTGATGTGGACTATACAAGCGTGGATCATTGTGTCAGGAGGAAGCTATATAGTTATTTCTTTGTATGCAGTTGAATTTTTTGTTAGCGAGAACTGCACGTGAATTGTAAATGGCACCTTAGTGAACGATGCAGGAGGTTGTATTGGAGCCAAGGTGAACCGGGCACGGACGGAGGTCCGCCATTTTTATTTCTGCGCTACTCTATTTACAAGCAACCTGTCTTCATTTCCTTTTTTTAAGATTTCTCTTTTGCAACGAGTATTGCATCATTTGGATGGCTCTGATTTATGAAGATCGATTTCAAAATGAACTCTCTTTGCATTTTATGTTGATGGATTGTGCTGGTTTTTGTTGGGTTGTTCTTGTTGCGAATGTGTTCGCATATCAATTCAGTGGAACAATCTATGTAAATAAGAAAAAATGACAAACTTGGTGAATTACTTGTCGAATAAGATATATACTCAATCATCGTTTATGAGTGAATGAATTGTCCCTCGAATAAAATATTAAAAATACTGCTAAGGTTGAAAGTCATGAAAACTTTTATAATAGAATGTGAACGAATCTATTCAGAATCTAAACACCAAACTCCGATCGTCTCCGACATCGTCTCGTCGAGTCACATGTTCGACTGTATGAATCCCTCAACGATCTATACAGGACGATACAAAAAAAGTGTTCATAATTTCTATCCATGTATTTATAACTTCAAGGTTCAAGTTGTAGAGTTTCAAGTTATAAGAGTTCAAGGTATATACAGATGTTCAAATTACAGATGTTCAAATTACAGAGGTTCAAGTTGTACAGTTTCAAGTTATATAGGTTCCAGCTACATAGGTTCAAGTTATAGAGTTTCAAGTTATATAGGTTCAAGCTATATAGATTCAAGTTATACAGTTTCGAATTATAGTATTTCAAATTACATGTATTCAAATTATAGTGTTTCAAATCATACGAGTTCAAGGTATATACAGATGTTCAAATTATAGAGCTTCAAGTTCTAAGTGTTCAAGGTTCAGATATTCAAATCATAAAAGTCCCAAATATAGAGTTCCAAATTATACAATATCAAACTCTATAAATTTAAGCCACAATTAACCTATTTACTCTGTTTAAGAGAAATATATACTCTCTATAGATGTTCAAATTATAGAGGTTTAAGTTCTAAGTATTCAAAGTTCAGATATTCAAATCATAAACCTTCCAAATATAGAGTTTCAAGTTATACAATTTCAAATTTTATAAATCCAAGCCACAGTTAACCTGTTTACGCTGTTAAAAACAAAAGTATACTCTCTATAGATGTTCAACTTATAGAGCTTTAAATCCCAAGTATTCAAGGTACAGGTAGTCAAATCATAAAAGTTATAGAGTTTCAAGTTACACAATTTCAAACTACACAATTTCAAACAAATCCATATTCACCAGAACATTTCGTTATTTATTTATTTAATCTTCCTGCCATAACACTGCTGCCAACTTTACCAAAGTACCCACCAACTACACACCCGTCCGAAAAATCAGGTCCACTTTTCCTTCATCGCCCTATAGAGCAACGAGACAGAAGTCAAAGGAAAGACGAAACGGAGCATAGCACGGTGTCAGAGCGAGACAAAGAGTCTACGTTATACGCACACCATGAGAATAGCTGTAGGATCGTTTCCGTTTTCCCCTCCACGCGTGTCCGACGGTGCCGGTCGTTCGGTACACCGAGCTATCTTGGTCGGTCGAAGGCCTGCCAGCCGGTGCTGACCAGCTGTTCGAGCTGGTTCATCCTCTCCCCGGCCCACAATCGATCCGTTGTCCACGCCGCGATCCACCGCGGCGAGTCCCTCTCGATCATTCATCCCGCGATCACCGATCATCATGAGTTCGGAGCTCTGACCGGCGTGAGTACTGTTACTTGTTCGAACCAGTGATCCCGTTTCTAACCCCTTTCTCTCTCGTTACCTTTCGTTGGAAATCGGTGATTAACACGTTGAACGCCGCGCGGTTTCACGGAGGAAAATACGCAGAATGGAAGAAATATGATATTAAATCATTTGATTGAATTGCATTACTATTGCGTGTTCATCTAGCTGAATGTCACTGTATTATGTAGCATTATTTACAATATAGAAATGTTTTCGTATAATTGTCCATTGAGTGAACTATAGCAATTCAATTTGGGTCACCGGTGACCCCCATGGTATTCAACGTGTTAAACAATGAAAGAATTTCTATTAAAGATCCTAGAAGTGATAATAATAAATGGCCAGGTAATATGTTAGCTGAAAGTCAGCTAATATATAGATGCAGTTCAAACTATTGAAAATCGGTGATTAAATGATGTTCACTGTATGGAATCAGGTGGTGAGTGAGAGTCAGCTCTCGAGTGCAATGGGTTAAACTAGAACTACCGAGCACTTGAACCGTCTTTCTAAAATTTATTTAAAGAAGCTTGTATTTATTAAAATTTCAGTTGACTTATATTTCAGTGTAGGTCTTGGTTAGGTCATAACACGAGGATATTTGTTTTTGGTTTTACTTGGTTAGATAATCGTAGTGACGAATAGTGAGTTAGTAGTGATGAAGTTAGTAGTGTATTGTTAGTTAGTGAGATAATATCGAAAATTAGATGGAGAAAAATAAGTAATTAGACCTGCATTCTTCAATATAGTCATTAAGTGGTATTATTTGTTTGCTACTCGTCAAAGGCGAAACCGTTTGGACGTTGATTAGTTCGTTAGATCGATTATTAGTGAATGTTCTCGTCACTTTTCGAATGACACTCGTGGCACACTCCAGAGCTACAAGGTCCGTAAATATTTGAGCGACACGTGCTGGATGGGAGATGAGAGATAAGGGTGTTTTGTGTTTGCTACCAGCTGAGTATATTGATTACGATCTGTTTTTATGTAATAGAGGATGTTTGGCGTATTGACTATTACGTTGGTCACCGGTGACCGGCGGTTTATAGAAAATGATTGCAATGTTGAGTTGAAATATCGAATAGTGAAGCAGTGTTTTTAGTTTTTGTTTATTGTAATCGTCTTTGTGAGGTGTTTGTTTGTATTGTTTTAATAATGTTACATTTGTAAGTATTATTATGTTGTAATATCATTTAATTTGACATATTGTGGGTAATATGATTTAGATGATACAGTTTGATTGGATTATTATAGAATATGATGTTAGTTATTAAATATTATTTAATAGCATTAACCCTTCGCACTCGACAATATTTTTCATTAAAAATATTCATTACTTTCTGACTAAATATTAACGATATTTTTCGCAACACAATTGATTCTTCAATAAATTAAGAGACAGAACTGTTTTACTTTGATATTTCATGCGTTGATACATTACACAATTTAATATTGAATTGAAAATTGTATAAGTTTGCTTGAATCAAGTGGGGACTGTATGTCGCCCCTCGAGTGCAAAGGGTTAACACTAGAACTACCGAGCATTTAATACGATTAATAAGCAATTCCTATAAAAATTGTAACGATAGATTATTTTCAGTTTCTTCGGACACTCATTATAGTACTCAAATGAAACTATTTATTTTCAAAATCATTTCGAATATTCAATGCTTCGAAGATATCAATAATTGCTAAACGAAAAAATCGAAACCAGTTATTTTGACTGTTACGTAGTTCTAGTGTTAAAATAAGGTTATACAATATTGAATAGTAGCAGTATTTAGTATAATATTAGTACAATATTTAATAATGGAACGAGTAACTACATAATAATCTAACGTAAGAAATAAAATTCTAATTAATCATTCATTGAGTGATATAGAAAACACTCAAAATTCCCATGGAAATCAAGGTGTTCACTCCAAAAGTTCGTGTGCTGATTGTTTCTTGTTTCCTTCGTTACGCAATGATGGAAGATTCGGTTTGTCGGTGGATTTTCCTTTGTGAGTCAGTGATTAGCCCGTCGATTGAAGTGTCGTTCTTTCTATTGTAGTTAATTGCTGGTAATTGATCGGCCGATTGATAGTACGGGTGCACTGTGTTTTGATCATTCTATCCGCGCGCGACAATGTTGCCACAATTGATAAGCGAAAATGACGGTTCGTTCTGTTTGTTCTTTCGTTGTTTTTCTCGTCATCGGTGGATCGCGAGAAATTATGTTAAACGAAATAATCTAAGTGTGTGCGTTCATTAATTGGAACGTTTGTTCAGATTGACGAGAAATGAGAAGATTTCTGAGCCGAATCGATAACTTGTTTACTTGGTATGCACCTGTCAGGTGTTTCCCTTCGGAAATCATTGTGTTTGCTCGACTTTCGATCTACACGATCGTCGTAACGCATTGACACACGTGTCAGTAGGTTGTTTATAGAAAATTGATGTTTTTCACACTACCGATTGAAACGTAATCACATCTTGAAGCGTTTGAAGTAGTGATGAGGATTTAGAAATAGAATTAGAGAAAAATGAATTAGAGAATGAGTAGAATTGAGCGAACGTAAATCATATTAACACGTTGACGCTCATTTTGAAATCGGCGAGTGCTTCCAAAAACACTTCTTTTGTTCTGTCAATTGGTTCTTGGGAAGTTCGATCAAGATTTCATACTTATAGATTAAAATTATTTCTTAATAAATTTCTGTAAAAAAAGGTAGACGTCTATAGCCGTCATTTGTTTTTCAGCTTCGATTTCTCTGACACGCAAAAGACGGCTATAGACGTTTTATGTAACGATATTTTTTGAAAATAATTTAGGAAAAAATAAAACAGGCATATTTTTATAAACATAACTTTATTCTGCACACGATTTTCATTTACATTCTTTTTTAATATAACACAAAATTGAAAGATAAGAACAAAAATTTCTACATGAACGCCTCAACACTTTATAATACGAATTATTTTTATTGGAGTTTTCTGAAGTAACTGTTTTACTTCAGCAATTATTAAAAGAAGGCTAAAGGATTTAGAGGATAATAAATTCAACAGTGATATACATTCATTTAATTGTTTTATAATACTAAAAATAGGACTACTATAGACGTCGTTCGCGTTTACAAGCAATGAACGACTATAGACGTCATTTACAACGTGTTAATTTTGAAAAAGAAAATAAATATTAAAGCGATCTAATTTTGTTATTCACTGTTCAATAGAGTATACTCTCAGAGAAATAGTTCATTCGAATTCAAATAATTGTATTATTATCATTATGTATTATTCTTATACATTATTATGTCTTATTCTTCTGTTATAAATGATCACACTTGAAAACAAACGTTAACATCGAATATACCTAGAATCTCCTATTATTTTCAATAGATTATTAATCAAAAAGTAATCAGATCGATCGGAGTTCAGAAAGAAATCACGAGATGTTCACATCTAATACTCCTCTCTAAGGAAACTCAAGTGTTCACCAACGATAGCTTTCTATTTACGAAAGATCTCCGGCTATTTTGGTCGTTTTAATAGCCAATTCCTAGTAAACTTAATCTCGTGTACGTTTCAGTCTTTCGACACGCTCTCGTATTGGTCGTGCGTCAGCTTAAAAGATTATTCAAATTCGAACACTGCGTAATTCGCGATCGAAGTAACCGTCCACCGTGATACGTAATCTGTTTCATTTACTTCTTTAATTTATTCGAGGTCAATTGATATTTTGACATTCATACTTTATTAACTGGTGATCATATAATTCATCGTTAATTGACGCATCAACAGGTTTCCATTGGGTAGACTGTTAATTTCATTCATTCCCGCGTTGATAGTATTTTAATTACAATCTAATCATTCGTATTTTATTGCGTAGTTAATAGCATTACAACGACAGTTAATGAACTTCGTCGAACGAAGCTGGAAAAAGATAGCAGCACGTCGCGTTTCAACAATTCAGTAGCTTCGGATTATTTAATACCTATAAGCAACACGAGAATCGGCAGCTGACGCATCAACAGGTTTCCATTGACTGTTCACATCAACTTTCGATTTCTTGTAGTTTCCTCGTGGACTCGACGTAATTGCTCACGATTTGGAATCACGTTAAATTCAACTTCGACTAAAATAATAACAAATAAGTCTGTTTCGATATAAACATTTATTATTTAGGTTTATGTAACAGACATCAGATTTATTTAGAACTATGCTTCTCTGTCTAGAGATTTTTAAATTGTATATGTTATCACGCTATTTACAATAGTACTTTGCGGACGAGTGCCGACACTTTCCGAGATCAAACTTTCATGTTTGTAATACTAAGTTGCAAACAAATGATTCAACTACACAAACAGCAAGAAACCAGTACATAATTTCCTTATTCAATATTATTTAGGCATTCGATGTGTGATTTGGCAGAATCTACAAAAGGTTTTGTTTAGTTCAGAGAATCTTCGTTCGCAAAGGGTTAAGGGACAGTCACGGACGGCGGTATACGTTACAAAACATCGAAAGCATAAAGAAACAATATCGAAATATATAAAAATGACCAAAAAATTGAATACAACTTAACCCTTTGCACTCGAGAGGTGACTCTCAGTCACCAGTTGATTTGATTTGCAAAATTATAAAGTCTTGAATATAATATTAAGCTTCGTATGATGCGTCAATATATGGAGTATTGAAATAAAATAACTTTCCTTCTTAATTTATATATGTTTCCTCGTTAATTAGTTTCAAAGGACATCGTCTGTATCTCATCGAAGAATATTGAATATTTCTAGTGAAAAACTTTCCAGTGCAAAGGATTAATATTTCATTTAAAGAATCGATACTGTCCATAAGCTAAACATGACCGAAATTTCCGTAACACGGAACGCGTTAACCGTTGACCTCGGTCCGCTGGAACCGTGGAAAGAGTCGCGCAGTGTGTCAGTGAGATCGACGATCACCGTCGAAGCTCGATCCTTCCCCGGCTCCGAGAAACAACCGGGAGAAAGCTGATTGAACTCGGTCGGATGCTGCGCGTGTCCGACGCCATGTTCGGTTTTGTTTTGACCGGCAGAGGATCGGCGCGCAGACTACGCCACGCGAAAATCGTGCCGGACTTCTTCTTTATTACACGGTGCTGCAGCGATGAATCATGCCCGAAGGAAGTGTAGCGCAGTTTCTGGATAATCGCGTCGCGAGGCTAACCTTAATCGTTCGCGATAAGAGGACACGGTAGAAAGCTACGCGGCGCACGCATTGTTTCGGTGAGTGCATCCACGATAGAAAACGTACCTCGTTTATTACCTTTTATTCGCGCGCTAGCTTCTCAAATGCGGCGCGATTGTGCTTTAATTTTCTCCTTTCAAGCGTAGACTGATTTTACTTTAACCTTTTGAACTCTGTAGGCTCGAATATTGTAACAGTTATAATATTAAATATTTCAATGAATCTTAAAGAAACTACACTAAAATTTTTATTCACGCGCTAGCTCTTCAAGCGTAGACTGATTTTATTTTAACCCTTTGAACTCTGTAGGCTCCAATATTGCACCAGGAATAATATTAAATATTTTAATGAATCTTAAAGAAACTACCATAAATTTTTTATTCGCGCGCTAGCTTTTCAAATGTGGCGCGATCGAGGTTTAATTTTCTCTTTTCAAGCGTAGACTGAATTTATTTTAGCCCTTTGAATTCTGTCGGCACCAATATTACACGTAGAATATTATTTGATGTTATTCTTGCTTTTAAAATATTAAATGGTCCCTCTTGCTGTCCTGAGATCTTATCCAAATTTTATTTAAATACATCTCGGTCATTTCTGAGACACCATTTAATATTACGTACTGAAGCTCATAGGACGGTTTACGACCACTTCAATTGTTTAAATAGAATTTTTATTAATGTCAATAGATTTTACTGTTCTCTCAATAAATGCTCGGTAGTTCTAGTGTTAAATTCAAATTTCCCGAAATTTTGAAGCGATGTAAACTTTATTCTATAACACGCTTCAATTCGTATACAGAACAAATTCGATTAAAACTCTTTTGAGTGTTTAAATTCAAATTTCCCGAAATTCTGAAGGGATGTGAACTTTATTTTGTAAAGTAACACACTTCAATTCGCCGCGAAGTGTTGATGTTACAACCTGTTGATTGAAAACGAAAACCTTGGAGTGCACCAAGCGAGACGACACACGCGATGTCCGCCGGGAGCACGTTTAATCGTAGCGAACAATGAGCATTCCGGGCTGACAAATGACACTGTTAAACGAGCTGCAGGTGTCGTCACGTGAACGGAGCCATGTATATGGTATAGTCCGCGGCAAATCCGCCGGCCACGTAATCCGATCACGTTACGGTCTGCTTACGCAAAATTATTTCAGGCGAACGTCACACGATTTTGACCGTTCATTTTCTAGCCTTCTAGTACAGTTACAGCGGGAAGTGTTACGAATGCTTGCGCCGATTAGGAACAATGTCTAACCATCCTACACACCGTCGAATATTACAAAAAGAATTTTATAATGGTTGCGAACGGTTTGAAATAAAAGGGACTGAAGGATGGAAGGAAAAAATAAGAGAGTTAATTAAGTATCAAGGAGGAATGGAAGCATAGTGAGATGTAAAGAATTAAATTAAAAATGAAAATTAATTTAGCCGAAGAGAAAAGAAAGAATTAAATTAAAAATGAACATTAATTTGTCAAAAGGTAAAAGAAAGAATTAAATTAAAAATGAAAATTCATTTATCAAAAGATTAAAAAAAGAGTGAGAGAGTTAATTAAGTATCAAGGAGGAATGGAAGGATAGTAAGAAGTAAAGAATTAAATTAAAAATGAAAACTAATTTGTCAAAAGATAAAAGAAAGAATTAAATTAAAAATGAAAAGTAATTTGTCAAAAGACAAAAAAAAGGATTAAGAGATTTAATTAAGTATCAAGGAGAAATGGAAGGATAGTAAGAAGTGAAGAATGAAATTAAAAATGAAAACTAATTTAGCGGACGATAGTGTGTATCGTGAGTGACTGAAAATTCATTGTATACATATTGTGGAAATAGTAACATATCGTGTAAAATGAGGGAGAATGATTAGTAATTCAGATAACAGTAGCGAAGGTAATGTCTCACTGAAAGTGGAACATGTTTCTAGAAGAAGTGAAGTATACATATGGCATTTCACCTGAAACATTAATATTAAATGACAGTATATCCGATGTATTCCGAGCGATGAAAATTCACGTCACAATAACGTGTAGAATCATTAAACAAGTTTATCGTGAATCCAAATTGTTGTACAGTGTTGCACTGTCATGATAAGTTCTTCCGATAATTTGAAACAATTAAAGCCTTCAAATTTCAAACATTTAGATCCTTCAAATTTTCAACGCTTAAATTCTCAAAATTTTCAACACTTAAGTTCTCCAAATTTTTAGCACTTAAATCCTTCAAGTTTAAAACACTTAAATTCTCAAAATTTTCAATACTTACATCTTTCAAATTCAAAACCCTTTGAGAATTTAGGTGTTTTAGGGTTTGAGAGTTTAAGGTTGAGAGTTAAGTTCAAATGTCCTTTAAATTTCAAATTTCCAACCGTGTCCTCCAAAGATTGCATCGATGTAGGCCGATACTTCCTCAAGCTGTTATTTATGTACATTCACTTACAAAGATAAGAAAATTGCATTTTTACAAAATGTTGTTTACACGAAATTGCATGAGCAATGAGTCCACATAATCATAGAACTGTTGCCAACAAAATTACCGAGTGACAGGAAAAAAATATATCGGCCGTTAACGCTCGAACACCGCGAGCGTTATAAGCTCCGAACTATTGTAGTTCCACGATCCACAGTTTTCTCCTTCTTGTCGAAGGGGAAAAGCGTGGAATGCATGACGCACGAAACATTTAATAGGCATTCTTGCTCTAGCGCATTCCAGTTGTTCGTAATATCTGTCGAAAGACGACTGATAACGTGCAGCCGATCGCATCGGAATTCCCGAAGCTGCAAAGAAAGATTGACTCTGGTCGAGGACACTCGGTTCAGCCCTGTCCTTGGCGAATTTCGCTTATCTTGAAGACTGGGAACCGAGATTACGTAACACGAATATGCTCTTACCACTTGGGACGATCGCTATCGTTGTTATATCCTTCGCGTGCCATTCGTGTGACTTTCTCGTTGTCTTCGAAATGAAATATAGAGAAACGGGCTTCGATTTTCGTAGAAGTTTTTCATTGTACAGTTAACCCTTTGCACTCGGATGTTTTTTCTTTATTTATGTTTATTTATAGTCGCATCAACACTTGGGTCATTAGCGACTAACAGAGAGTTTACAAGTTGTTCATTAGAGTTAACCTACATATGTAACATAGCTAATAATTTTATGATACAGATTTTTAAATGGTATCCCAACAGCTTAACGTAATCCTAGGTTCCTATTTACTTATATTATATCATTGTATATTCCGATCACTTTCAAAAATCGAAGAGAAATTACCAGTACATTGAGGAACAAAGCTGTTTTATTCAAATGTTTCACGTATCGAGGCATTATACAAAGTTTGACATTAAATATCACATTCTATAGTTTTACTGCGTCAAATCAAGTGGTGACTGAGAGTCACCTCTCGAGTGCAAAGGATTAAAGTATTTTATTTAATTTAAGAGATGTTTTACTTTGGAAATCATGTTTAACACTGTTTCTACCGAAGGTGTCAAAGAACACCTTATGAAATTCCAACTTAACACTATTTTCTCAGTTTAGTGAGTTTTCCTCCATTGAATTTTGGACATTCCTTAAGTTAATATTATCATTGTTCTTGAAACAGTCGAAATTGAATTAAAAAAAAACGACTAAACTAGGAAAATAATTTCCAATTAAAATTTCAGGTGTCGAAAGACACCTTAGATTGAGTTGATCAGATGAAAGTTTGAAATTTGTTAATTTGTTTAATTTAGTTTCAACGATATTGCTTAAAATATTATCTGACATCAACGGGGCAATTATAAATTTAAAATCTGTTAATTTTTTTAATTTAACTTCAAGAATCACCATCCAAGATACTTCAACCAAAGAAAACCCGAATCCAAAGGAACGTGTCTCAATCTCCAAAAAAAAACAACCCACTCCACGATCATGTCAAACTTACGTAAAGATATCAGTTGCGTTCGATCAATCGATTTGCATACGATCAGCCATCGTTAACCAGTTAACTGTGTTTGACGAGTATACACGTCATCCTAAAGCTTGACACGATACTAATTCTTTCAGCGATGAATTTTTTATTTTTTCACATAAACATGTAATTCTTCTTTGTTTCGCTTTGATTGCATTCGTCCTGCGTTCGACGAGTACACGCTCCATTTTTCGATTTCATTGCGCGCAGAACCAGAGGTTTTTCCAACTAAATTCCACAGTTAACTCATTAAAGAAGACCCCCAATTATTCCCCTCGCAGGTACCCGTTCTCCGAGGTCTAATTATAAACAACACAGCTGTGACACGGCGCTCGCGAACGATAAATCGCACGGCTTATCGTTAAAACGATCGTAAACAGCATTCAGATCAAATAATGAGCGCTGGTCAAATTTATCGCGCTATTGGTAACGATACGTGTAGCGAATGGGAGAAAGAGGGAGAGAAAGGGAAGGAGATAAGGAAGAAGGAAAAAAAAATTTATGCGATAGAATCCTCGTTTCCTTGTGCACACAGCGATCGTCGGTGACGTTAGTAAAATCGTGGGAACCGGGCACGGGTGACACAGTCGATCCTTTGATTTCAGCGCGATCAGACTGGGCGGCCTCAGAAAGCTGAATGGAGACACCGGTTATTAGACAATTGCAGATCCTTGGATTGATCTCGCTATGGCTGTTAATCGTCGCGGTGCCTGGCGATCTCGCGTCCTACACCATCGGGGTGGGCAGGGCTGACACCACTGGACCCACAGCCGAAGTTGTTTTCGTGAGTTGATTACAGGTTTTTCTTTTGGTTTCAAGGTATTCGAAAGAAATCTTGTGCACTGGGATATTTTTATCTCTTTGCACTCGGAAGTTTTTTACTGGGAATATTTAACGTGTTTTGATGAAGATGATATTTGAAACTGAGTGGAGGAACTGTTTTATTCCAATGTTTCACGTGTCGAGGCGTTGTACAAAGTTTAACGTTAAACATTAGATTTTATAGTTTATACTTTGCTTTTATACTTGATTTTATACTTTGCACTTCAGAAGTTTCTCATTAGAAATATTTAACATGTTTTGATGAAGATGTTATTTAAAATTAACTCGAAGGGAAATCACAAGTGGAGGAACTGTTTTATTCCAATGTTTCACGTGTCAAGGCTTTGTACAAAGTTTAACGTTAAACATTAGATTTTATAGTTTCACTGCAAGTCAAGTGATATTCTACTCCTTTTATTAACTCTTTGCACTCCAGATGATACTTTCTGAAATTAACTTATCGAGAAACTGCACATACATCGAGGAAGAACACTATTTTGGTATTTCAAATTTGAACGAGTTAAGTGTTTTAAATTTGAAGAAGTTAATTTCAAGTATGAAAAATATATCAAACTTTACTACTTAATTGTGTCAATCAATTTGCAACTGAGAGGTGACTATGGAGTACGAAGGGTTAATTCTTTGCCTTATTCGGGGATCTATTTCGATTCTACTTATTTTATTTATTGATAATCTTATTTATTCGTCTATATTATTCTCTAAAATATTCTAACAAACATCTTGCTCTATTGTTTGAATAACAATTGTAGAAATATTTGATAATTCATATTGTATATATTTATAGAAATACACTTTTTGAAATATGAAGAAAGGAAACATAAATATTACTCGTGTTTTATTTGATAAATTGATTTATACAATGCATTGTTCACTTGAATTAGCTATAGTTTTATGTCTAAACGGTTCATTAATTCAATGAGGAACATTTAATCTCTAACTTCACCAAATATGAAAGCGAAAATGTCAGAGATCCAGGTGACATCTCAGGGATTGTTTGCTTTCCAGATGGGCTATGCGAAAATCGATCAGAAAGGATCAGGACTCCATCTGCGGACATTCTCCCGCGCGTTCATCATAGACGATGGCGAGGAGAGGTTCGTCTTTGTCAGCGTGGATAGCGCGATGATAGGAAATGGCGTCCGCAAAACGGTAATCTCCTCTTCCCTCTGCTACAATCTCCGATTCCTCGTTTTACAGAGATTTCTCCGTAACTTGGTGTCAAACTAATCCCTCCTTTAATCCAATCAATGTAAAAATAATCAATTTAAGAGTAACTACTGTCAGCAAACATCACTTCTTCACATAGAAATCATTTAACCCTTTGCACTCGAAAGATTTTCACTGGAAATATTCAACATTTTTCGAGATATAGACGACATTGTTTGAAAGTAATTTAACGATAATTCACAGATAAATTAACCCTCTATGGACCGACTTTTTTTTCGTGATTATAACAAAATGTGTGCAGTATGCAATTAATAAATCTCAATATATGAACACAAGTTAACAATGTATTCAATAGTTTTAATAATTTCATTGAAACAAATATATTTTGTAACTTTGAAGTTACAAAAGAAGAAAGTGTTAATGAAAGATCAAAGCGAGACAAAGAAGAATTACACGTTTATGTGAAAAAATAAAGAATTCATCGCTGAAAGAATCTCGTGTTAAGCTTTACGATGACGTGTATACTCGTCAAGCACAGTTAACTGGTTCAGAGTACAAAGGGTTAACGGAAACAAAGAATTTCTGTGACTCAATGAACATCGGGAGACAAATAAAATTGTACTAATAACAAACTGTAGCTTGATTCACCGATACAATGTGTACAAAAGTTTAAGTTGATTGATTATTTAATATCGTTCGTCATTTTGCAATAAAAAATTTAATAAACCAATTTAACCCAGTATATTGATGTGTGACTTCAAAGTCACACAAGCCTGTAGAGGGTTAAGCAACGAAGCTATTTTATTTAAATATTTCACACAGCAATACAAAGTTTCATTTAAAATACTAAATATTCAACTTCATAGTTTTGTATCAAATCGAGTGGTGACTGAGAGTCAAATCTCGAGTGCAAAGGGTAAAATCGAATAATACCATAAAGTTAGTTTTCTGTTTTAAATGAAAAATCAAAGGATGGTGGAACGAACAATAGGATTCGTCAGTTGTTATTCATAATTTCACTGTGATGCGTCAGTTTATTCGATAATTGTGCTTTTCAAACACGTTAATCATTGTTCGTCAAATATTGACAGGATTAGCAAGATTTACTCAAGGAAAACATCGAGCAATTTTCGTGTTACACTCGTTATTTGCGATTTAAATCGAGTGTTGCCGCACACTGCACTCGCAGCGATCGTTCGTCCGTTGCTCCGAATAACCCATTTCCCGTTCAATGTTATCGCAGGTGCTGGAGAAACTACAAACTCAGTTCGGCAGTATGTACACCGAGAAGAACGTGATGATCAGCGGGACGCACACGCACTCGGCGCCGGGCGGTTTCATGCAGGACATGCTATTCGACCTCACGACCTTTGGGTTCGTTAAAGAGACGTTCGACGCGATGGTCGCTGGCATCGCGAGGGTAATTATCAATAGGAGATTGCTTTTAAGTTAATTACTAAGTTTACTTTTAAACCTCGAATTTTTAAGATCTAGGTGAACGGATATTTTTCTCAAGACGATACAACGGACTGTACTTTACTCTCTGTAAATTTAGTCTAAACCCTTTGAACTAGGAAGTTTTTCACTAGAAATATTTGAACATTTAATTAACAAAGCTGTTTTATTTCAATATTTTTTAAATTGATGAGTTATACAAGACATAATTAAATATCAATAATATTATTGATATTTTCATTATTAATATTAATAATATTAAATTAATGAAGATTATTAAATAATAATAATAATATTAAATATCAAATTTTATAGTTTTACTATATGAAATCAGGTGCTGAGTAAGAGTCATCTCTCGACTGCTAAGGGCTTATGTAGCTAATATTTTATAGCTAGAATACTGTTTAATTCCAAAAATCTCTAAAGATAAATAATCTTCAAACGAAAATTCCTTTCAACTAAAAACAATATTTGAAACCTTATATATTATAAACTAAAAATATCAAAGTATATCTAAACGAGGAGACCATAAAATGTCTAAATGACGTATCCTCAATATTCCATAATTTCTCCTCAATCTCCCTAATCTTAAACATCCTGTACCCATCAAACTATCAACCTTTCATCAAGGAATACACTCCAATACATCATACTTCCTAGTAATATGTAGTCAAACCTATTTCTGTGCGGTAGATAGGGAAAGAAACCGCACAAAAAAAATCTTCAGAAATTTACGAAATAGTGAGAAAGTGTTTTCGAAGAAAGTAAATAATTAAACTATACATGGGATCATTACAAAAAGATGTAATTTCTCGTACATGGAGAAATTGTCACAAGGCATATAATTCAATGATACTCGTAAATTCGTCCGATAATTTGAAACAATTAAATCCTTCAAATTTAAAACATTTAGATCCTTTAAATTTTCAATACTTAAATCCTTTAAATTTTCAATACTTAAATCCTTCAAATTTAAAACACTTAAATTCTCAAAATTTTCAACACTGAAATTCTCAAAATTCACTGCTACTCGTAGTCAAAAACGCGCATCTCGCGATGAACTAGTTCAAAGTCGCTTTCGTCACTTGAAAAACACCAATTGGAATTCATGTACCGCATAAAAAAATCGCATAAAAAAATGGCACAAAATAAATCGCATAGAAAAGGACCGCACAACAACAGGTTTGACCAATGAATGTTTGCATATTATTCATTTATTTATTTCATCTAATACAAATACTCTAATGGGAATGGTGAATCAATCGTTTCCCTAGAAATCTATCCCAAGCGTTCCACAGTGTACATCGGAGAATGTAACCGATTCACGATCTCAATGATAAACATTGCAGAGTATCGAGCGAGCGCACAACAACGTCGTGTCGGGGAGGATCTTCATCACCCAAGGCGAGGTTCTCGGAGCTAACATCAACAGAAGTCCCGCGGCGTACCTAAATAACCCGCAATCCGAGAGAGACAGGTGAGCAATCCGAGCTACGATGATCCTCGGGATAAATCGATTCCTTTGCATCGAGAACTGAACCGAATCTTTTTGCTGTTAGGTACAAGTACGACGTGGACAAGACGTTGACGCAGATACAGTTCGTCGGCGCGGACAACAAGCTCCTCGGCGTGATCAATTGGTTCCCGGTGCATCCCACCAGCATGAACAACACGAACCACTTGGTGTCCAGTGATAACGTCGGCTACGCCTCGATTCTTTTCGAGAAAGCGATGAACAAAGACAGCTTGATCGGCAAGGTGAGATCACTTCGTGCAACGTACGTAGCAGACTTTGGCTGGTTGCCCATGCGGCAGTTGCTCTTGAAAGGCAGTTGTCTGAAGCTGTGTCTATTCGTGGCTAAAGATCTTAACCCTTTGACGAAGATTCTGTGAAATATATGAAACCTTTAGTAGATAAAGAATTATATATCAGATGCTAAACCCTTTGCGGTCCGAAGTGCTTTTGGTTTCAGACTTTGAGGTTCACGTCGACGTTAGTTCATTCTATAGCTTAACCGTTTGGCTGCTGACGGATTTTTTCTCAATATAAAAATAAAATACTCAATATTGTTTGGTGAGACGTAAATGATAGTTTCTGAAATTGATGGATTAGACAAAGTTTCATGTAGAATATCAAACTTTATAATTTGTGTCGAATCAATTGGCGACTGAGAGGTGGTTATAGAGTGCGCAGAGTTAACCCTTTGCACTCCATAGGCGCCTCTAAGATTTGACACGAAAATTAGTACGAAATATTGAAAAAAATAGTTCTCTTCCTCAATGCTTGTGAGATTTCTTAATTCAATCTAAGAAAATGTCTGTATCTCATTAGAATATGTTGAATATTTCCGATGAAAAACTTCTGGAGTACAAAGGGTTAATTAGACTGAGTTTATGTTACAGTAGCAGTCTTATATTATTTTATACAAATGAGTTATTTATAAATGTGTTACTGTTACTAAGAGTTCTAAAAAGTTGAGGGCAAGATAAAAGTATTACACCCTTTGCATTAGAATATTTTTATTGTTGTATATTGTACAATTCTACTGAAATCAAGATCCAAAAGCAAAATACATTAAATAGGGGTGTATGTTTAGTCTTCATAAGACTTAAATTATTTTAAATATACTTTGCTTTCTCTGAATCTTGCATTTGTAGAGAATAACATTTTAAACGTATAATTATTTTTTCATTGATGTAAAATGTTTAGTAGACCCTAAAATAGCTTCACCTAAATAACAAATAACAATGGTGGTCGAAGACAGAGAACTCAGTTTCTCGAGTTTAATGCAGATGGCAGTAGACGACGCCTTGCTCGGCGTCTTGGTTACTTAACAACTGAGATGGAGTAGGGGAAGCCTGATTTACATGGGTGTACAGCTTGTAGTATACTTTAGGGTGCATGCTATCACAGTTTAAACTTTCAGTACAATATTGTTGTAATTAATGAAGTTTGGTATTTCACTCAGACTTCATCGTTAACCTGAAACACTGAATACTAACTTTTCACTATGACAAATTTAATTCTTCCAATTATTCCATTTATTCAAATTGAATATTTCAATTTAGTAATTTGATTAACTTGAAATCATTGTAAAAATATGTTTAGGAATCAAAGTCCTGATTCTCTCTTTTTTATTGCACAAGCAGTCCCTAGTTCAATATTATTGTTAGATCAACCATAATCTCATGAAACTGTTGGAAAATTTACGCAGTAGTTCTATAATACTATGACTTTGTGTTTCATTATAATAATCTGCTTACAGTTTTAATTGTATCGCGTGTTCCATATCCATAGATATTTTGGTTGTGTATTATTCATAGTCGAATAGTGCCATTATGAAAAAAAATAGTATTTTCAATAAAAGAAATATTCCTACAAAATTAATATTAATTGTAACAAATAGTCACTTTAATGACTGACCAAATGTAATGACTATAAAGTTCATAGACCTGAGAACACTTACGTTAAGATTCACCCTCACTTCTCCACCAGTTATTAATTACTTACTAATAACGAATTACACAATCAATTAATTAGCGAATTAATTATTAAAGAAATGATTAAAAATATATATTTTCAAATCAATGTCTTCAATCTTAAACAAATATTAATTTAAACTTAATACCTGGTGTACCAAAGACTCTCTGTCATTCTGAATATATCATGTATGTATCAAACGTGACTTTCAGTCGAGGTTAACCCTTTGCACTTTGAATTTTCTATAATGCATCACTATGCAAGATCTCATAGTAAACTACTTTTGTCCCTTGATTTCTTGATTAAGTTAATTACAGTAGTCGCAACAAACATCGTCTGTATTTTCAGAGAATTATCAAATTATCAAATTACATTAACCCTCCGTTACCACTTGATTCGATACAATAAAACTAATTATCGTTAAATTAGTTTCAAACAATATCACCCATGTTTTGTTGAAAAATGTTGAATATTTCCATTGAGAAACTTTCGAGTGCAAAGGGTTAAAATATTATCAAATTAATCAATATCGCCAAAGAGTGTTGAATGTTTCTAGCAAAAATCTTTCGAGTGCAAAGAGATAATAATCGGCCATGAACCTTGTTGGAAATTAGGGTCCTTTCGTGGCAGCCTTCGCCTCGACGAACCTGGGCGACGTTTCACCGAACACTCGAGGTCCAAGATGCGAGTTCTCGGGCAATAAGTGTTCGGAGCAGTATACTTGTCCTGGTAAGAAGGAGATGTGCTTTGCCTCTGGGCCTGGAAAGGACATGTACGAGAGCACCAGCATCATAGCCAACAAGATCTTCAAGGAATCGTGGGTGAGTCATTGTGTCTGTGTACTTTACTATTCGCTGAAACCTAAGTTCTCGATAACCTCGAAAAATCCTTAGTCTTATCACTTGTTCCGTTAACAAGTTGCTGCAGCTAAAACCAAATGGAACTTTTATATAAATAAACAATTTCGAACAATCACCAAAGAATAGACAGTTTATTACTTCTAGAACAATAAGTATTCTAAATATAGAATTAATGGAAAAAGTGTGTTAAATAATTTCTGAAAATTAGGATATAATATTAATTTTAACAATTTTCATATTTAAATATGAGTACAGGTTAAATAAGTGTGATTTTAATAAGAAAATTTTCAATAATTTAAGATTAAATTGTAACGTGTAACATAATCATTAATAATAGTATTCTAAAAATAGAATTAGCGAAGATATTCCTTAAATAATTTCCGAAAATTCCCATTATCGATGGAACATTAATTTAAATCATTTTCATATCTAAATACATGAGTACTGGTTAACTAAGTGTCATTTTAATAAGAAAATTTGCAATAATTTAAGATTAAATTGAAATCTGAAGGAAACGTGTAATATAATCATTAATAATAGTATCTTAAATATAGAATTAGCGAACATATTCCTTAATTTCCGAAAATTCCCATTATCGATGAAACATTTTAATCATTTTCATATCTAAGTATATGAGTACAGGTTAACTGTCATTTTAATAAGAAAATTTGAATTCCGTATATCCTTTCCAGTGATACTAGAATAATAATTGGAAAAGTGGAATCGTTGCATTAATTTCAGATTAAATTGAAATCTGAAGGAACCGCGTAACATAATCATTAATTATTAGTCGCGCATGAAAAATGATTTCCCCGGAATTCGCGATAAATTCGAGGATCGGGAAAAGCCGACATTAATTCTGCACGGAGGAAGACATTTTCCCTTGGTATCATTCGCTCCGGGCGTTCCGCGGAGCTGTTAATTGATTTTCATCAAGGGGCGACCCTATTTTCCCGCAGCCATTGAATTTCCCCGGGCTCGCAGGCCGCAACAAACATCGAATTTCTCAGGGACTGTTTCGCAGCGTCATTCAACGGCTTTCCCATTATGAGCGGTCAATGAATTTACAATAGGGATCGCGTTGCACACAAATATGAGAAACGCTGTGACGATGAAACGTTACAAGGTTCCTTATTACTGTACTTGCGCGCTTGAAAAAACATTCTCCGTTAATTAACGCACGTTTCTGACACGCGAGCACGTAAAACTTGTTCCGAAAATTTATTCAAAGACGAGGAACTGCGAAGAAGGTACGAGATGTGTTTCAATTCTCGACTCTTCAGTAAATTTCACAATTAAATAAAATTTACACATTTACACTAAATTAAAAAATAAATACACTTTTATGAAGACAGTAGTTGTTAGAAAGTTTCAACAAGAATAACTATGATATATATATAAACTTTTTATACCTGGTTTATGTATAGCAAATTAGATTCTTCAACATAACCTATAAAAAGTCGCTGTTATCACAATGGCAGATCGCCCGACAAAATGGAGTATCTGAACTTTATAGTCATTACATTTGGTCACTAAAGTGACTATTTGTTTATAATTAATATTAATTTTGTAGGAATGTTTCTTTTATTGAAAATAAAATACATGAATAACACTTTGAATAATGTACACCAATGGAATGTATTTACTAAAACTTCTTCAAATGAAACAGTTTCGTTAAGAGACTTTTGTATCAGATTAATTAAAATTAATGAATTTTAATGTGAAAATTGTTTGAATCTGGAGGATCTATATGGATCTAAGGATTGCTGAGACTGTTTTCAGTTCCGAGCGTTTCCTTCTCAGGGAAACTGACAATTAAAACACACTGAATTTGTTAACGAGCAATATTGCAGCGCACCGCGTAAAAAACGGAGGAAAACACGGTCCGCGGAGCCTCGTACAAAATCACGGGCACGAGCAGCGCAAGATAGCGATCGGTGGAGTAAAATTCCGTACCCGACGAGCCGTAATGCGGCTCATGAATACGCGTTTAATTAACAATGAACAAACATTCGGAATCAACGCCTACGCTGCTCTTTGTTTACGCATCTTACTCACTTTTTCTCTACTGTTCGTTATCTCTAAAGGCAATCCACATTTCTAACAGCGAGAAAATTAAAACTTGCATCTCTTTTGAAGGTGTCAATGTTTTTCTTTAAAAACAAACTCAGTATTCATCCTGTATCAATTAAAATCCCCTTTTAAGAACCTTAAGCAATTTTGTTCACCTCGAAATTAAGGAACTATAAGAATACTTGATCAAATAATTTGATTAACAAAAATGTAGATAATTACGTGTCCTTGAATCTAAATTGTTTAATTAATCAAATGTCTTTACCCTCTTTCACTTCATTCTTTAATCAACAGTAATTGCAAAAATATTTGATTAAGTAGATTTATATTATTCTATTGCAAAGACATTTCAACAGTCTGATTTGTAATTGAAAACTAATTACCCTTTTAATTCATTCTTTAATCAACAGTAGTTGCAAAAATATTTAATTAAGTAGATTTATATTATTCAAATGCAAATACACTTCAACAGTCTGATTTCTAATTGAAACTAATTACCCTCTTTTATTTCATTCTTTAATCAACAGTAAGTGCAAAAATATATGATTAAATAGATTTATATTATTCAAATGTAATTAGTTTTCAGTTACAAATCAGACTGTTTCTGATTCGATACTTCTCGACAATCATCTTGAATCATCAGCAGAGACCTCGATTTTTCTTACTTTTTCACCCGATTGTTTCCAAGCGGCAGAAACACCAGCTGGAGACACGAGCAGGGATACTTTCTTCGTCTCATTAAGACGTTCGTTCTATCGCGATCATCCGACTAACGAGTCATTGTGATCGAACATTAGCATTTGATAAATATGCTTCGAGGCAGCTTCATTGCGCCCATTCCACTTCATTCCATGAAAATATCTTCCGTTTGTCGGGCAAACGAAGTACCGTTTCCTTCTTAGACTCGTCATTAATTACACGGTGGAATTATTTCGCCGGCGCACAATTATGTCGCCGCGTCGAATTAAGGAAAAGTGTTTTCCTATGAGCTTCAACGCTGCAACGTTTCGTACAATCTCCTTTATTGAGTACAGGCTTGATACTTATTTACAAAACATTATATTTATATATATTGTACAATTAGAAGAATATTGGTTCGAGTTTCCTGTTTCTCGTGACCCATTTCGATAGTAAAATGTTCATCAGTTTCCGTTCTATTAGCGGTAGGCACATAAAACTCGTTCGGTATATCTAATATTCAATTAAGATACAATCTATTACGATTAATTCTTAACACGTTGAACGCCGCACGATTTCATAGAGCGAAGTATACAAAATGGAAAAAATACAATATTAAATCATTTGACTGAATTGGATTATTATCATGGCGCGTTCATCGAACTGAATGTCACCGCAATGGGTAGCATTATTTATAATATAGAAATCCTTGCGAATAATCATCGTTTAATTGAGTGAACTATAGTAATTCGATTTGCTTGGAGGTCACCGGTGACCTCCATGGCATTCAACGTGTTAACCTTTGAAACCTCAGCTCACAGTATTACTATCCCTTAATCAAGAAATTCTCCAACAACGTTACTTATCAAAATCAAAGTATTTCTATCAAAAATAATTCCTAATTTCTTGAAACTTACACCTATTCGTCCAAGATACTATCGAATTCTCCACGAACTTAAATTATCAGAATCAATGTATTTCTATCAAAATTCCAAATTTCTTGAAACTTACAACACCTATTCCTCTAAGATACTATGAAATTCGCTAAGTAGTGTCTATTGCCGCTTCACAAAACAGGCGATCCAAATTTTCCCGCCACTTCCGGTCGCTCCGCGGCCATCGCGAACGCGTGGAAAGCGCTGCAGAGAGAACGAAAAGGAACGAGATCCGAGTTTTCAGTGATCAACCGAGCTCCGCTTTCTACTTAACGAACAACAGCTCGTTTACATTATGGATATTCGCCTCATAATCGCTCGGACCTCGGCCAATCATACGTCCGAATGCAGATTAATTCCCCGTACAAGAATTTCTCTGCTCGAGACGGTTTTCCCCGACCGGAAGCGTCTCTTATTTTCCCGCTAATCGCGAGCATCGACGTTTCTCGCAACGACGATTCGTTGTTTAACATTCTGCCCACTTATTGGCACGGATTTCGGACGGAAGTACCTAACATTCAGGGTGATTCGAAAGTCACTCCGTTAGAATATAAATAAACGTAGAACGAACAGTTACATATGTAATAAAAAAATAAATCCTACTATCTCTAGAAGACTTTGATCTTTTCATCGAAGTACACTCGTATCCGTCACATCCGAACCACCCTGTACACCCATCATCAAGCACACAATGAACTTAAGTGAAACGCAATGGGAATACAAAAATTCTCGGACACCCTGTTCTCGATTAATTGAACAATCGATTCTTTAGTCATTCCGCAGCCTGTAATTCGAGGATCAGCTGGACGGATATCCGGCTCGGATATCCAGCGCTGATCCTTGATCTCTATTGAACTGTCTTCGAGCAAATTATCCTTGACAATGATCCTTGCTTTCTTTTTATAGTGCAGAAGCAGTATTTTAAAATTTTATAGAATCGCCATAAACTATAAAACTGACAATATTTTGAAAGGAATTAACACATTCGCGGACGCGAATGCTACAGCGTTCATTGTCATTGTGACGCGAAATGACATGAATGCTACAACATTGAAACTTATAAGCCATTGTCATGAATTTAATTCTATATAGCTTCAACTTTTTGAAACTATTATCTACTAACCCTCGGAATATTGCATTTTTTTCGCGGCTCAAAATTTGTACTGTCCGCGAACGTAAAAATCCTATAGAATCGAAATAAACTATAAAACCGACAATATTCTGAATCAAATTGAAACTGAAAGTTTGAGGAATTTGGACAGTTTCGACGATCTTCTGTAACGATTGCTCCATTTAAACTTCTTGTATTTCGCGGGTCCAACTGAATTTTGTTCGTTCGATATGTCACCGGGGAAATGAATTTTTCAGTTTGTACAAAGGGTCGTGTCATCTAGATTCAGATGACATGGCGGACAAACCGTTAATAGTGCTTGTCGTAGTCGTCGTAGTTGTTGAAGTACGCTGGCGCCACGTACTTCGCTATGGGGATTGGTTTAGGGTGGATGGCTGGTCCAACTTTCTTCACGACTGCGTTGAAGCCGTTGTGATCGTCGGCCGTGTACTCGACGATCCTGACGCTGCCGTCGGGCTCGTTCACGCTGTAGGAACCGTGGACCACGTCTCCGTCGCGAACCTCGTGTTGAGTCTTCACATCGCCGGTGTGGGGGTCGTGGACGCCATAGTTGAACGTGTACTTAGGGTGCGCCTTCAAGGACAAAAGAAACGTGAAGCTGATTTTTCAAAATTGTACTCGGTTTTTAGATGTGTTGTGTTCAGCTGTAATTCGAAGCTTGAAATTTGGTTTGGACTTTAGACATGGAGGTTTTCACCAGTTAACCTTTTGCACTCGGAAGTTTCTCAAAACTATTTAATATCTTTTCACAACACTAAGACGATATCTTTGGAAACTCCAAGGGAAATCACAAGTACAATGAGGAACAAAGCGGTTTTATTTCAATATTTCACGTATCGAGACGTTATATAAAGTTCAACGTTAAATATCAGACTTTATAGTTTCACTGCATCAAATCAAGTGGTGACAGAATCACCTTCTGAGTGCAAAGGATTAACTGTGGAATTTAGTTGGAAAAACCTCTGGTTCTGCGCACAATAAATCGAAAAATGGAGCGTGTACTCGTCGAACGCAGGACGAATGCACGTAGAGTATATTTTAATGAAAGATCAAAGCGAAACAAAGAAGAATTACATGTTTATGTGAAAATATTAAGAATTCATCGCTTAAAGGATTAGTATCGTGTCAAGCTTTACGATGACGTGTATACTCGTCAAACAGTTAATTGGTTAAGAGGCAAGAATGGTTATTACATTGCGATTTAACCCCCTGCCCTACAATTTATTTTTCAGCTATGATCGACACAACTTGCCATTGATAATTTATTGAAAAGAGAGACAAATGTTAGGCATATTCCATGCCTATGTTTGCTTTAAATTATGATAATCGATAACTAAAGGATAATATTTCATTTGTATTCACAATAATTGAGTAATGTTTATATCTGTTAAGTTCTGTCTGAATTGAAATTTTGGATTTTAGATAGGTTATATTCAATCTTGAAAGACTAAAAATGTTGAATATAAGAAACCCTTGGTCTAGCGATTATTCAAAATAATTTGAATACTATATTATTCTGGATAATTAGTAGGTTGAAGATGCTTCGTCTGAAGTTGAACTGTTAAATTACCGTTTGAATTTCGAGAGCCAAGTCCCTTCAGAAGACTTAACACCATAATTTCAACATAAGAATACTATAACATTCAAAATCATCCATTTCCATACATCATATAACATCACAATATTCCAAAATACTCCAATACACCGATACCAACCTTAAACTTAAAACAAAGACACGCAAAAGAAGGATTATCTAATGAAACTTCCTGATTCAATATCCAGCATTTCATTCTACTTCCTCCGCATTATAAATGCATCAAGTCCCGCGCTCCGGCATTACCTCGAATTAACTTGATTAAGCCCGCTACACATGCCGGCGAATATTTCGCACGAATCCAGCATTTTAATGAAAGGATCACGGCGGATAATTTCAACAACAATTTATCTCCGTGAAAACATCGAACGAACGTGCCCGGAACAGTCGGCATTAGAATTAAATAGCGATCGATACATCAGCGAACTCAGGCAAATTACAGAACAATTGCCTCGCCGAAACAATGGCGGGCCGGGAGGTGTGTGAGAGACCGTATACGATTTACATCCGAAATAACGCGGCACAGTTTAAATAACGCCTAGACGGAGAAGAGCCGTTTCCATCCGGGTCGCGTGTTATGTTAACAAATTGCATACCGGTTAATTCTTCGCGGACGAAAACTATTTAACTCTTTGACTGCCACGTCACCCGAATTCAGATGACACCATTTTTTACGTAAACTCAAACATTAATTTTCTCGGTGACGTTTCGAACGAACCGAATTCTGTTGTATGTATGAGATACAAGAGGGACAACACAGCAGTCGTTATAAAGAATCTTGACTTTTTAGTTTCTACTTTATTAAGAAAATTATTTTCACCACATAGGTATTCCGATGAGTGTTTATTTGGCAATCAACGTGTTAACCCATTCGCCGCCAAAGACGAGTATACTCGTCCTGCTTTCAATATGTTATAACACACAGGGTTTTGAATAAGCAAATTTCGAGTCAAGTCCTGTTGCCTTCCCATTGCCAACGACGAGTATACTCGTCTTTGATTTTATGCACGTAAATGAGTATGTATAATAATATATGTGCTTTTACCTAGAAATAACAGAATTTTGGTAAACAATACCACTCAAAATATAAATGGCAATGGGAATAGCTTCATATAATATAGGTTTGGCAGAGAATGGGTTAAAGTACACAAAGCTTGTAACGCATGAAGCTAAATTATACATTGAATGCTTAAACAATAGTAAAAGGGGAACTGTACACTGATCACTTACTGTTCAAGTAATTAAATCATTCGTTTGCAACTCACTGTTCCAAATATGAAAATTTCATCGTACAAAAAGCTTGTAACGCATGAAGCTAAATTATACATTGAATGCTTAAACAATAGTAAAAGGGGAACTGTACACTGGTCACTTGCTGTTCGAGTAATTAAATCATTCGTTTGCAACTTAGTATCCCAACTATGAAAATTTCATCAGACCGAAATGTCGACATTCGTCCGCAAAAGGTTAATTCTTAGAAAACTGGCCGATTTCTCAATGAGATCAAGTTCGTGATGTATCACTATACGAAAAATATTCAAATAATCTCAATCTCTAATGAGATCACAAATATTGTGTTATTACAAAAAATATCAAAAAATAATATTTATTCAAATAAATTTACTTTGATTTATTTCTTGAAAAACATAGTAATATCTATATATAATATTAAATCATTTGACTGAATTGTATTATTATCATTGCACGTTCATCAAACTGAATCTCACCGCAATGGGGAGCATTATTTATAATATAGAAATGTTTACGAACAATCATAGTTTAATTGAGTGAACTATAGTAATTCGATTTGCTTGGAGGTCACCGGTGACCCCCATGGTATTCAACGTGTTGACCTTTAAAACCTCAGCTTCACAGTATTACTATCCCTTAATCAAGAAATTCTCCAACAACGTTAATGATCAAAATCAATGTATTTCTATCAAAAATAATTCCTAATTTCTTGAAACTTACACCTATTCGTCCAAGATACTATCGAATTCTCCACGAACTTAAATTATCAGAATCAATGTATTTCTATCAAAATTCCAAATTTCTTGAAACTTGCAACCCCTATTCCTCTAAGATACTATGAAGTTCGCTAAGTAATCAACATGGCATTCAACGTGTCAACTGAAAACGAGACTTCTTGTTTCCGGTACGCAATATGTTAATCGAAATTCTTGGCTCGCGAGGAGCGGCATAAGAGCTCCTTCCGCGACGTGTCTCATTGTCGTGGCCGTTTCCTCTCGCTTTCTCGCGCGGCGGCTGCTCGTTAAGGACCGCCTTAATATCGCGCCGATAGCAAGCAGCCGCTTACGCGGGCACAGACGGTTACGAAATTTTTGTGGGAACCGAGCCGCAGGAAAAGCTATCGGAAGTTGCGCGCCGGATTATGGGAAATTTATGGGGAAAGAAGTTAATTGAACGAGGAACTCGATTCAGGAAACAGAACCGATTAATGCATGGAATCGGATAGTCCGGTGTTCCTTGGACCGGCACGATTGATCGTGCTAACTTCGGCTCGATGTGTTTACGTGATTTACAACTGAACGACGTTTACGACTAGGAAAAGACGTTGTTTCTCGAGTGAGAATAAAGTGGTAATTGATTCGGAAGAATAGGGTGTGCTGCGGTAATATTAGAGTTGATCTATCGAATCGAAATCGAAAGTACTTATCGGTACGTGACGATTGTCGGGGATTACGGAAACAATTACTGGAGTAGTTTGGAGAGAGGAGTATTAAATGAGAATTAATTCGTGTGATTAGACGTTGGTTTCTTGGGAATAAAGGTGTTTCTATGTTCTTCCGATCTGAAATTGTTAGAGTTTGAAAGGGAAAGGGATATTAAATTAATCTCTCCGATTAAAGATTGATATCTCGAATATAAAGTAAGTCTACTTCATGATTCTATGCAATGATCTTCGTCGTACATGCAAAAGATCCGTCATCTATCGATGATTAATATTACCAGATACTCAAATTATGTTCGAATTAAAAGAGTTAAGGAAACAGTCATAAATGTATCGAAGTAGCTGAAAGAAATGAATATTAAATAAAAATGAATCTCTCGATTAAAGATCGACTTCTCAAACACAAATATTATAAATATATATAACCCTAAGTCGCGAACAAATGATTTAATTACTAAAACAGCAGGAGATCGGTACGTAATTTCCCTTTCCCAATTATCTAAGCGATCGATCTATAATTTAGCTTCATCTGCCAACGGTTTTCTATGTTTCAAAGAATCTTCGTCCGCGAAGGGTTAATATTGTTTGAATACTTACGTAGTAATCGTGATCGTGATCGGCGTGATGCTCGTAAGCGTGAGCGGCATGAGCGGTGTGATCGAGAGCTGCGCTGACGTGGACCGGCGCGGCGGAAACCGCGTGAACCGGAACAGCCACCGTCGGTAGTACCGCGTGTCCTTCGTAGTCAGCGGATCCTGCGTATGCTTCGAGGCCCTCGTAATCGGTATAAGAGATCCCGTGGCCTCCGTTGTAACCGCTGAGAACCACACCGCTGCTGTAAGCGAGCGTTGCACACACGAAGCACAGTACCTAGAAATTTCATTCGGTGCTTTGGTTCATTATCGAAGTAACTTCTTGCTTTATGAGCTTAAAACTGCTTGATACAATTATTTTGTTGATTTATTGAAAACGAAAAGAATTCTATGATTGTTTTGTGTGTAGGTATACTATGGATTATCCAAAATTGCTTTGTAGTTAATGATTTGAGGCGGACAGAAAAGAATTTTACGCTAATTTTGTTACACTTTGAGTTATTGTGCTTGAAAGTTGCTTTGTGGTTAATGGTTTTATTAAAAAAGAACAGAATTTTATATTTATTCTGTAGTTAGGTATAGTCTGAGTTATTGTGCTTGAAAATTGCTTTGTGGTTAATGGTTTAATTAAAAAAAAAGTTTTATATTTATTTTGTATTTAGGTATACTCTGAGTCATTGTGCTTGAAAATTGTTTTGTGGCTAATGGTTTAATTAAAAAAGAAAAGAATTGTATACCTATTTCGTATTAGGTACAATCTAAGCTATCAGAAATTTCTTTGTGATTAATGACTTAATCCAAAAAGAAACATTACACAGTGCTTAATTATTAATTACAAATAAAAACAATTCTATACCTATCTAGGTACACTCCAAGCCATTGCACTCGATAAAACTACGTCTTCATGAACGATTTAAAAAAAAATTGAATTTTCAAGTAAACCCGTACGCAGGTTAAACATAGAATCCTCTTGTCGAAATAATATCCAATTAAATACAATAAAATTAACATACACATTCATTATACCATATTCGAAATCTTCGAGTCTAACACAATATTCCAACGTGTTAACATACAAACCGAATCATAGATGATTCACGACATAAGTCATTACACGATCAAGAAATTCCGCTCATTTCACACTGATCCCTCTAAATACAGCGTAGAAACCCTTTCCTTCCTGAACCCTCTGGCGCACACTCGAATATCATTGAATACCGAACCGCGCTATAAATAGTTTTACGATCATTTAGGCGTGTCATTAACGCATGCTTAACGCGGTGAAATTCTGAACCGGATAAACGGGGCCCTGTCCGACTTCTGTTTTCAAACATTCCCGCGTAAAAACGCGGAACTCCATAAATATTCATCGGGCCGCTCGTCGATGATTATTTATCCGGGGTTTTATTAGCCTCTTTAATTATTTTCGTTGCGCGATCGGCGAATTGGCCGGGGATGAATTTATTTTCATCGTTAACGTCGCTTTCGGGCGTCGTTAAGCGTCCGGAATAAATTAATGGATTAAATCCGAGTGGGAGATTGTTCGATTTGTTGCGTGAAAGATCGTTCGGGCATGCGCGGCTTCGATATTTCCGGGAAACGAGGATTTCACTGAAAAATCTTCGCCACGAAGGGGCAGTATATCGAATGCATAAAAGACTCGTAAGACCGGGAGGATTATGGCCGACATTTCGCTGAGTAATACAACCCATATAAACGCAACTTTTGCAATAACGGTAATGGTGTACGGTGGGAATGATGCGTTAAGTGTGTTAAGGGTGGTTCTTAAGGGGGGAACGTGGAAACCGTGGAAACAAATGATCGCGTGGGATTTGCTGTCGATGATGTGACCGTGATACGAGATTTAAATGCTGTTATACTTTCAATGAAAGAGTTTGTAGCTTGAACGTGTTAAGTGGATTCAGTGATGAGATTGTAAGAGATCTGGCTTTTCTGATCTGAAGATATGGTGCAGTCTTATCATGATAGAATCATAATTGAAGTGTGAGTAAGTTCTCGGTTGTTTCGAGTTGGATCTGAGTGGATTTCAGTTTATTCCAGATTTAATCTTTTCTGAGTGAATACTAATGGACAGTTGATTTAATAGGGGTTAGTGGAGTCTAGGTTTAAGTAATTGAAGATCGTGTTGGGAGAACTAATTGGAACTGATGTTTGAGGTAGATTCAAGTAAGTTATTTCTGGATCATCCAGATTAGTTTTCAATTCCTACTCAATTTTTAAGTTCATCCTAATTCATCCAAACTCACATTCAATTCAAATTTAACTTCATCCCAGTTCATCCAAACTCAAATTCAATTCAGATTCAATTTCATACCAGTTCATCCAAACTCAAATTCTATTCAGATTCAATTTCATCCCAGTCCACCCAGACTCAAATTCAATTCATATTTAACTTCATCCCAGTTCATTCAAACTCACATTCAATTCAAATTTAACTTCATCCCAGTTCATCCAAATTCACATTAAATTCAGATTTAACTTTATCCTAGTTCATCCAAACTCACATTTAATTCATATTGAATTTCTTCCTACTCCATCCAAACTCAAATTGAATCCATATTCAATTCCCAAACTCATTTCTAATCAAAGCTAAAATAACCTACCAAACTCATACTCAATTCACACTGAATTCCTTTCCACTCCATCCAAACTCAAATTCAATCCACATTCAATTCCCAAACTCATCTCTAATCAAAGCTAAAATAACCTACCAAACTCATACTCAATTCACATTGAATTCCTTTCCACTCCATCCAAACTCAAATTCAATCCACATTCAATTCCCAAGCTCATCTCTAATCCAAACTAAAATGATCTACCAAACTCATACTCAATTCACATTTGACTCCTTCCCGCTCCATCCAAATTCATCTGTAATCATCCAACTTCCAAGCCCACCTCCAATCAAAAACCACAAAATACCTCGAACACATTCAACGATAAAACGTTGCGCTGACTCGGTACAATCGGAAAGCCAAGTAAACCGAGAGATCCGACCGAAGACGCTGGAAGACGCAAACATTTTTTGGCAGCCTCGGGACGAGTTCGACGAACGGAAAGCAAGGAAAGTCGCCGCACGCGCCGAGAAAGTTTCTCGTGTTACCCGTGTGTCGTCTTCCAATAAAAGTGTCCCTTCTCACTTTCTCGACCTTGCTCCGTAAACTAATACGAATCCGCGGAAGTGGTCAGGACCCGCCATCAATTCTACCGCGTTGTGCGGATGCCACCGATAAACCGCGGAACGGGACCACGCCTCCGGTTTCGTCTATGAACGCGAACGTATCTCGTCAAATCTATCGTCTTATACGGCAAAAACGAGCTTCCGGTGCCGCCTGACATCTCTGGGAACCGATCTTTCCTCGGGTCGTTGTTCTTTCAGCGTCTAATTAAAACACCTCTTTACCTCGAAACGAACTTCCCTCTTTTCGACAAGACAACTTCAAATTTATTTACTGTCGCTGTTTCTTGTGATTTTTTTAAAGAAGATTAATCTCACAGTTCTAATACTGAAATTGTATCTAATTTTAACGAAGAAGATCTTTAATTTCTAGATCTTTGAATTCTCATTTTAATCTTTTGTTCTGTTTTGAGGACTGGAAATTGATTAGAATTCTTAACGATTGTTTGATAGTTTTCTTTTGGACTTTTTGGATATTTTGATAAGAAATTGTTGGATTGTTATTGTAGATTTCTTGGGTTACCAATCTGTTTTTGTTATTGCTGTTGAATAATTTATTAGCAAATTCTTAGCTGTTACTTTTGAAAGAATATTAGTTACAATGAGTGCATTAACCAGTTAACTGTGGAATTTTCTTATGATTTTTTGAAGAAGATTAATCTCTCAGTTCTAATGCTGAAATTGCATCTAATTTTAATGATCTTCAGTTTCTAGATCTTTGCATTTTCATTTTGATCTTTTGTTCTATTTTGAAGATTAGAAATTCTTAATGATTGTTTGATAGTTTTCTTATGGACTTTTTAGATATTTTGCTAAGAAATTGTTGGATTGTTATTGTAGATTTCTTGGGTTACATTTCTTTGTTCAAGTTATTTCTTGGAAAAAATAAAGAATTCATCGCTGGAAGAATTAGTATCATGTCAAGCTTTACGATGACGTGTATACTCGTCAAGCATAGTTAATTGATTAAGAAATAAATATAATTTTTCGAATGAAACATAAATTGTCAAAAAGAATGAATCTTTGTGTAAAGTTTTCGATCAGAAGGAAACTAGAATGAAGAATTCTACTGAACGGTTGAAAAGAGGTTGAAATAGTAGAAGAAAAATCATTCCGACAAGCTAATATTTTCTTAACAGTTCGAATAATCAGGACATAAGGGTAGAAATCGTTGTTCCTGGCAAAGGGGAACGATCGGAGGTGTATTCTATAGCGATAAGATGAGACTTGGCTCGATCAAACGTAATGTTCCAGTTACGTCTCGATCGGAGGGTGAATTTATTCCGCAAGAACAACCCGCCGCCTATTTGCCAGGCTATCAGTAGGAAATTCCAATTTCATCCCCGGCGTTTGACGGTCAGGAGAAGAAAGTTAGCTTCTGTTCGAGGAACCTCGATCAATTGAAATAGAACTATCTTAGGGTCGGTGGACAAAGTCTTTGAAAACACGCTATTTGAAAGTATTTGATCGTCTGATTTACAATTCACAATTGACAATTCAGAAATGTCATATAGAAAACTCTGAAAATGCGTATAAAGAAGTCATGAAATGTTTAAAACCAATTAAAATACAAGAAAATTGTTAAAATTGAATAAAAAAAATGGAATGTTTGAAACCTTATTATACAGACTAAAATGATAGATTAATTAAATGTAACTATTAATCACTGAAAATTACTAAAAGTCTCAATTTATCAAACATTGCAATTTAGATAGATGAAAAAATGTAATATTAAAACATTTGATTGAATTGCATTATTATTATCGTACGTTTATCTAGCCGGATGCGTTAGATAGCATTATTCATAGTAGAAACATTTTCAAATAATCATAGTTTAACTAAGCGAACTATAGTAATTCGATTTAGTTAGGGGTCACCGATAATGACATTCAAACCATTGACACTTAAACTATCGAGCAATCGTCACTTATTTTCAACATTCCATAAAAATTACACGTTTCTTGAGAAGAATCTGCTCTTGTATCTTTGCAGATACGAGGAAGTAATTGAAAGTCTTTCGCAAAAATGCGTTCACAATTTGAATACTTGCAAAGCCAAAATTCTGAGATGGGTCAATTTCCCTTCCGGTAGTGTTAGTGTTAAATTATAATTAACTTGTCGAGAAAACTAGTTTGGCCGCGCCGTGCGACGCATCGAAAACCAACACAGGCAAAAACGCGTTCACAATTTAACACTAAAACTACCAACCGGGTCAAATGACCCATGCCTGATGTCTTCTTTTTGCAATTATTAGAAAGGTAACAAACGTTTCTCTGAGAAATTATTAAAGAAATTCATTTAGCACTACGCAAATTGAATTGTAAATCAATTAAAGCCTGAACAGATGCACTCTTGGAGTTTTTGTAGCGAAATTTTCAAAAGTCAATCGATCTGCTCGGTAGTTTTAGTGTTAAATGCTTGGAAAATTGAAATTCTGAGATGAGACAATTTCCCTTCCGATAGATTTAATGATAAATTATAATTAATTTGTCGAGAAAACTAGTTTGGCGCGCCGTGCGACGCATCAGAAACCAGCACAGAGGCAAAAACGCGTTCAGAATTTAAATACTTGCAAAGTCAAAATTCTGAGACGAGACAATTCTCTTTCCAATAGATTTAGTGTTAAATTATAATTAATTTGTTCAAAAAACTAGTTTGGCCGCGCCATGCGACGCATCAGAAACCATCACAGAGGCAAAAACACGGTGTCCCCTTATGGGAAACTCGGCCACGACCACTGGACAGGGGTAGAATCAGCGTACCTTCAGCATCGTTGCTCGACTTCTATGGGGGTGTCCCGTTTCACTTGGTATATGCGAAAACGCCGCGATACACACTGATAGCCGTTATTCCGGGACGATCGTCTTATATCTATCTCCCACCAGCAGACTATTCCGTTCCGAGCAAAAGCTCTCGTCCTCCTACTGTGCGTTCCCCCGTACTCCCGACCCCACCCGCGGTTCCTTTTTTCTCTTCTCCTCTTTTTCGTCCCTCTCTTTTCTTTTCCTTCCTCGCCGGATCGGACGCACGTTCGTCCACGCGACGGTTTCTCCCCTTTTGCCACCAACCGGCCGCCGTTCTACATCGCCAACGACTTCCGGTCGCAAGAACTTTGCCAGGAGGTTATCTTTTTAGAGGACGAGGGTGCAGATTGGTCCTTTACGACCGTACGATTCTTTTTAAACTCGGAATGTATGGTTTCTGTTGTCGAAGTAATCTTTGGAGATTGGTGGACGATTTTTAGTGGTTTTTGTTCTTGGGGGAATTTCGTGAATGTTTATTGCTTGTTTTTATTAGTTTTGATAGGGAGTTGGAGTCGGTTGGTTTATGGGGAGATGGAAATTGTAATTTGTTAGATTTGTTTTTTAGTGTTTATTGAGAGGAGGGATCATGGTGTTTATAACGGAACGAAGGTGAAGATTGGTCATTTGTGATATTATGATTTTTTTAAACTCGGAATGTATGGTTTCTGTTGTCGAGGTAATCTTTGGAGATTGGTGAACGGTTTTTAGTGGTTTCTGTTGTTGGGGGAATTTCGTGGAGGTTTATTGCTTGTTTTTATAAGTTTTAATAGGGAGTTGGAGTCGGTTGGTTTATTGGGAGATGGAAATTGTAATTTGTTTGATTAGTTTCTTAGTGTTTATTGAAAACATCATAGTATTTATAGAACGATGGTAAAAACTAGACCTTTCTAAATTTTCCAAAAATCCAAAATTATTTCTGTCATTAAGAGTTCTAAATGTTTCTTCCGCAATTTCTATAGGTTCCTACTATGAACACAATTCATATACACCTTACTCGTTCATTACATAAAATAGCAATCAGTCGCTCCATGAGCATATTAAAATTCCGAAATGCTAATTTACTTCCTGCGGCATCTGTTTAGAACACTGCTCGCATTGTTTGAGAAACTAGATCATTTCCTCGACGACTGTGCACCGAGTCGAATAACTGAGTTCATCGAATCATTGTTCACATCGCGTTCGCCCAGCAGACAGGTTCCAGAGGAAGGAATTAATTTGGCAAGAGGACGAGCGCGCGAAGAGAGGCGTGGCTGTCTCCGTTACGTTGGGAAGTGTCGTAACGTTTAGGAGAGTTGGAACAAAGCTCGCCTGTACGCTTCTCCGCATAGGTAATACACCTTTTGTACGGCGCGGCGATCTTGCACCCGATGTAATCGCGGGCTAAATAATTCTCGCGGGCGCTAATGACGCCAGACCCTTTTTTTCCTCCTCTCGGCAGCCTTAGACACGTGTGAAATTGGCAGAGAGAAACTTTGCAAAGAGACTGTTCTCGCTTGAACGCGTTCCTCGATCAACTGTCTCTTTATTTAACCCTTTGCGGACGAAGATTATGAAGGTATTCAAAATCTCTTGTAGATTCTGCTGAATTAACCCCTTGGCCTATGATTTCTTTCTCAACTCTCATCGATACGGCTGCTTTGTCATGAATAATTTATTGGAAAAAGAGAAAAGTTCTAAGCATATGTTATTCCTATATTTCCTTTTAAGTGTAATAGTTGATTACAGAGGAATAATATTTATTTTGAATTCGAATTAACTAAGTAATATAGACATTTGTTGAATCATGTTGAAAATCTTCACCACGAGCCTCACTCGTTGTTGTAGGACAAGGGGTTAACACTAAAACTACCGAGCAGTTCGATTGACTTTTGAAAATTTCGCTATAAAAACTCCAAGAGTGCATCTGCTGAGACTTTAACCCTTTGCACTCGAGAGGTGACTCTCAGTCACCGCTTGATTTGATACAGCAAAACTATGAAGTTGAATATTTATTACATTAAATGAAACTTTGTATTGCAACGTGAAATATTTAAATAAATTGTTGCTTAATTTATCTGTGAATTATCGTTAAATTAGTTTCAAATAGTGTCGCCTTTATCTCATCAGACGATGTTCAAATATTTCTACTGAAAAACTTCCGAGTGCAAAGGGTTAATTGATTTACAATTCAATTTGCGTAGTGTTGAATTTCTTTAATAATTCCTCAGAGAAACATTTGTTACCTTTCGAATAATTGCAAAAAGAAGACATCATGGGTCATTTGACCCGTCTGGTAGTTTTAGTGTTAAATTTTGCCTGTGTTGGTTTTCGATGCGTCGTACGGCGCGGCCAAACTAGTTTTTTGGATAAATTAATTATAATTTAACACTAACACTACCGAAAGGGAAATTGTCCCATCTGAGAATTTTGGCTTTGCAAGTATTCAAATTGTGAACGCATTTTTGAGAAAGACTTTCAATTACTTCCGTGTATCAACGAAGATACAAGAGGAGATTCTTCGAGTCTCAAGAAACGTGTAATTTTTATGGAACGTTGTAAATAAGTGACGATTCCTTCGTACTTTAAGTGTTAATGCTTGATTGATAGAAAAAGAGGAAACTGCTGTGCTAATCTCTAGCTGTTTCACTAATTAAATCATTTGTTCACGACTTAGTCTTCCAAATATGAACATCTGATCTCGCTGGGATGTCGACGTTCGTCCGCAAAGGGTTAAATATCGAAAGAAAATAGTTTCGTTCTTCAATTTATGTGCGATTTCTCGTCAAGACAGTTCGAAGGAATGTCGTCGGTATCTGATTCGAAAATGTTGAGTATTTCCAATGAGAAACTTCTGGAGTGCAAAGGGTTAAATGCCCGAATTATGCGGAATGGGCATGATTTCATCTAAATTGCTACGGAACCAGGAACTAGGAGCGATGATTACGCCCCGAATTTCATGCGTTCTCATTATGCAAAGACGAATGGTGTAAGAACCTGAATGAATGGCCAGTGAAATCTTCAAGTAGCTTTTACTTCTCTTGAAAATCTCGGAGACATTTATTTTATTTGTTAACACGTTGAACTCTGTAGGCTCCGATATTGCACCAGTTATAATATTAAATATTTCAATAAATCTTAATGAAACTACCCTAAAATTATTCGATTTTCCACACTTCCAAATTTTGTATTAACAAGGAAAATAAAAGATCGAAGAAATGTTACAGCATTTCTCATTTTCGCTAGGAGTACTATAAAAATTAGTTGCAGTTGCTGATATATCACAAAAAAACCTGGAGTGCTAAGGGTTAACACGTTGAATGCCATGGGGGTCACCGGTGACCTCAACCAAATCGAATTACTATAATTCATTCGATTAAACGATAATCATTTGAAAATTTTCCTATATTATATGTAATACTTAATACACTGGCATTCAATAATTCAAAACCTGCAATAACAATCTAATTCAATGACATAAGTTGAGACCACATTATGTTCATTTTGAACAAAGTCTTAATTATTTTGACGGGCTTCAAAAGAGTAAATTTATTAAATTTGAAAGAATATTAGGCAGTTTCGCAGTAATATTTTATAGTTAACTGTAAATGGTTCTAATGAGGAATTAAATAGTTTCTTCTAACTTTCGAGTGTTTTAATTGAAAAAACGGTGATTTATGGATTCTACTAGAATTTTATTATTATTGATTAAGATTCTGAAGATTTATATCTTAGTGAAGATAGAAATCGTTTTTTGGTTAAAGGAATTTGACTGTATGAAATATTGTAAACTAAGTGATTAATTTCAAAGTAAAATTCGTGGACGCATTGGAAAAGTTACTGGGACGAAACTAATTCCAGCAACCCTACACGGTGTGCTATATTGTACCGTATTTTCGGAAGGTTCCTGTTCCTGGGGGTAGTCGGGCGCTAAACGTTTTCAAAACATCGACGGCGAACTTACGGGGTGTGAAGGGTCACGAGAGGTTTGGTCACGTTCTTCTTCCATTCTTGATACTTTGTTGCCAAGGGGTATTGTATCAGCGACACGCCGCAGATGTTGAAATATTAGGGTCGGTACAAGGTGTTTCGGAAAATTCGATGGAAACTTATAACGTACAGTCAGCCACAGAAGCGATCTTCCGTGACAAAAGCTTGTAACAGGTAATCTAATGTAGCAAAACAAACATCAACTCTTAATTCCTAAGTTGGATTCATCTATTAGCGTCAAAGTTACAAAATGACAATTCACTGTAAAACAATGGTTACTTCAATCTACAAACTCCTTTATTGAAGATTACAAGATTTGCTAAAACAAAATAGTTTTGGTAAATATCACAAAAGTTGTTTAGCATCCAAACGATTAACACGTTGAATGCCATGAGAGTCGCCGGTGACACCAAATCGAATTGCTACAGTTCACTCAATGAAACGACAATTATATGAAAACATTTGTATATTGTAAATAATGCTACATAATACAGTGGTATTCAGCTAGATGAACGTGGAATAGTAATAATTATTTACCAAAATAAATTCGCTCCTAAAACAATTCACAAAATTGCTAAATTAAATTACATCACAAAACTAAACTAAGTGCTGAGTTAACAAATTGTTCAATTCGGAAACTACTAAAAAATTACAGAATTACAACAAATTGAAAAGTTTCAAAAGTAAAAATTCTCTGAATTAAAAGATCCCATGAAAAATTACCAAGGGAGCAAAATCTAATTAATAATCACCGAATTATTAATCACCTAATTACCGAGTTACTCAAAATGTCCCCAGAACTTTCTCTCGTCAGATCCGCGATCTACAAGTCATGAAAACATTTCTCCTACGAGAAGTTTCGTAGCAAAAGGCGTGGTTCCCACCGATGATTCCCCCGAAATGATGCAACGGGACCAGCCACAAGGCTCGTTTGTCTAGCTGAACGAATGGCAGCGTTCAGCGGGCGCATTAAGCGGCGCGTACGCGTTATGTAAAGCCGACGTTAAAAACGCGCGACGATTTCGCTTCGCGATGTCGGTCAAGAGCGGACCGCA